GTTTGGTGACCACTTTAACTTCCAATTGGAAAAACAAAAACATCGAAGAAATTGCTGTTTCAATTGTGCTCGCGCATTTAGCCAATGTGGATAACCGCTTGGAACGGATTGTGTTCACGTCAAAAGTTCAAACTAGAAGTGACTTGCAATCCGAACTAGGCGCATTCTCCTTTAAAAAACATCGTAATGTTGACCGTGATGACGACTCCGGACCTGGACCTGACGCCAAGAAGAGGAGAATATTGACAATAGTGTGCCATTTCTGTGGCAAACCAGGACATAAAATTGCTGAGTGCAGAGCCAAAATGCGACAAAAGGGGGACGCGACATCTCAGCGAGACAAGCCAACTGTTACTTGCTTCAAGTGCGGGCAGCCTGGACACTTCGCAAATCAATGTCCGAAAAAGGAATCAACAAGTACACAGGGAGCATTCCAACGGAAAACTGTGAACCAGTGCTTTGTACCAGAGCCAACTGGAGTGATGATGCAGCTCGGTGAGACTTACCCAATTTCTTTTGATTCTGGCGCAGAGTGTTCACTCATTAAAGAGAAAATATGTAGTAAGCTAGCTGGTAAGCGTTTTAACAGCATTATCATGCTAAAAGGTATAGGCGATACTGGCATATATAGCACCTTACAAATATTAAGCCAAGTCACCATAAATGAGAACGCACTTCAAATATTGTTCCATGTAGTGCAAGATAATCATTTGAAAAGCGACATTGTTATTGGCCGCGAAATTCTTAAACAAGGATTTAATGTCACTATATCACAAAACAAGTTTAACGTAGTAAAAGCCAAAGCCGTAAATATTTGCTCAATAGATAGGGAACCAGTTGACCTTACAAATCTCGATACCGAATTGCGCGAGGCTGATAAAGACAAACTAATAAAAATGCTTGAGAATTACTCCACTGCACTTGTAAAAGGGGCACCATCTACACGAGTCACGACAGGGAAAATTCGCTTGATTGATCCAACCAAAACTGTACAACGCCGGCCCTATAGACTTAGCCCTGAAGAAAGGGACATTGTCCGAGAAAAGTTAAGTGAGTTACTTAAATGCAACATCATTCGACCCAGCTGCTCCCCTTTTGCCAGTCCTATGCTGCTTGTCAAGAAGAAAAATGGTACAGACCGACTTTGTGTCGACTACAGAGAGTTAAACTCTAACACAATCGCAGACAGGTACCCTTTGCCGCTCATTAGCGACCAGATCGCTAGGCTGCGTGGCGCAAATTACTTCACGTGTCTTGATATGGCGAGTGGTTTCCACCAAATTCCTATCCACCCTGATTCCATAGAATACACTGCATTTGTGACCCCGGACGGTCAATATGAGTTCCTGACCATGCCGTTCGGACTCAAAAATGCGCCATCCGTTTTCCAACGGGCAGTCATGCGTGCCTTGGGTGACTTGGCCTATTCATACGTGATTGTTTACATGGATGATATCATGATCGTGTCACCCACAGTCGAATTAGGATTGGAAAGGTTGAAAATAGTACTAGACATTCTCACAGATGCTGGATTCATTTTTAATGTTAACAAATGTAGTTTCTTAAAAACAGTCGTTCAATATCTGGGATATGAGGTAAGAGCAGGGGAAATTCGACCAAACTCGCGAAAGATTGTTGCGTTAACATCGTTGCCACCGCCACAGACGGTTTTTGGTGTACGGCAGTTTATTGGTCTTGCATCCTATTTTCGCAAATTCGTACCCGGATTCTCTCAAGTCATAAAGCCGTTGTATTCCCTAACATCAGGAAGGGAAAGTTTTGCGTGGACTACTGAGTTGGAAAGCATTCGCAAGAAAATTGTGACTATTCTTACAAACGAACCAGTTCTGGTAATATTCGACCCGCAATACCCTATAGAACTACACACCGACGCTAGCTCAATCGGATTTGGTGCCATGCTTTTACATCGAATTAACAATAAGCTTCACGTTGTAGAATATTTTAGTAAAACAACTTCGCCAGCCGAGTCTAGGTACCACTCGTATGAGCTTGAAACTCTGGCAGTATTTGCATCCGTTAAACATTTCCGTCACTACTTGCTTGGCAGAGAATTTGTGGTTTATACAGATTGTAACTCGTTAAAGGCATCGCGAACCAAAATAGACTTAACTCCTAGAGTTCATCGCTGGTGGTCTTATTTACAATCTTTCAAGTTTGACATACAGTACAGAGAAGGAAAACGTATGGCACATGTCGACTTCTTATCTAGAAACCCAGTCACTCAGAAACAATTAATTTTGGAAAAAATTCCCGAGAAGCGAATAAACATAGCAGAAATCTCAAATAATTGGTTGTTTGCCGAACAGCAATTGGACCCGGATATTGCTGCCCTTGTCAGTAAACTGAATTCAAATGACCTACTAGACGAAGTAACTAAAACATATGATTTGAGAAAAGGGATGTTGTTTCGTAAAATCCAAAAAAATGGTAAGACACGATGCTTGCCAGTTGTGCCCCGAAATTTCAGATGGTCAGTAGTTAACCAGGTACATGAGTCAATCATGCACCTTGGTTGGCAAAAAACACTTGACAAAGTTTACCAATTTTACTGGTTTGAGAAAATGAACAAATATGTCCGTAAATTTGTTGACAATTGTATAACCTGCAGGACAGCAAAGTCACATTCCGGCAAAGTTCAAGCAGAATTACATCCTATACCAAGGGTTAGCATCCCTTGGCACACCGTCCATATGGACATTACTGGCAAATTAAGTGGTAAAAGTGATTTAAAGGAATATATCATTGTTCAAATTGACAGCTTCACAAAATTCGTACACCTGTACCACACTCTCAAAATAGATACGGAGAGTTGTATCAGGGCCATAAAGTCTTCAACTTCCTTGTTTGGTGCACCAACACGCATTATAGCTGATCAGGGTAGATGTTTTTCTAGCGGGCAGTTTGCAGAATTTTGCTGTTCAAAAACCATAAAACTTCATTTAATCGCGACTGGGGCAAGTCGTGCTAATGGACAAGTTGAGCGCGTTATGAGCACGCTCAAGAACCTATTAACTGCAGTCGAATTAAGCCAAAGGCCCTGGCAAGATGCTCTCGGCGAGGTGCAGCTAGCTTTAAACTGCACAACAAATCGGGCAACTGAGGCTAGTCCCTTAGAAATGTTAATAGGGAAAGAAGGTCGACCTCTTGGATTAGTTCCTCCATTGGACACAGAATTGGAAGTAGACTTAGACTCCACACGGGCTCGAGCAAGTAGCAGTATGAAATCTTTAGCCTTTTACAACAAAAATCGATTTGATAAGTCCAAGGCCGCCGTTGTAAGACACAGTGTTGGTGACTATGTCCTTCTCAAGAACAAGGAGAGACACCAGACAAAACTAGACCCAAAATTCAAGGGTCCATTTTTGGTAGTTAAAGTCCTAGACGGTGACAGATACATGTTAAAGTCGTTATCGAGTAAACGATTATATAAATACTGTCACGAGGACACAAGAAAATTTCCAGAGGGAAATGTGCCCCATGAGCTGGACATTGAGGATGAAGATCCAGGCTCGTCAAATGGTCTGATAGAAGCAGAGGGTGAGCCGTCCAAGTGAGACGAAGGTTATCCGTCCAAGTGAGACGATGGTGAGCCGTCCAAGTGAGACGAAGGTTATCCGTCCAAGTGAGACGATGGTGAGCCGTCCAAGTGAGACGAAGGTTATCCGTCCAAGTGAGACGATGATTGTTTCTTTTTGAATGAAATTTGGAAATTTAGTTAAAGAAAATGTAAAATCGACAATTTGGCAAAATATTATGTAATAAAACAAGCATCATGTTTTATTTTTGTAACTTGCATAGGTGAAGTTATTGAATTGAATTGAAAGAAATATGTTTTCAAATGTTTTAATTAAGAATAAATGTTAAAAGTTTGTATGAAGAAATGTTGAACTGAATATTTTATCAGTTGGATACCCGTCTAAGAGAGACGATTGTTAATGGTTATCCGTTTAAGAGTAACGATGATTATTGGTTGGATATCCGTCTAAAAGAGACGATGAATTAAGTTTGAAATCTATTACAAAGACATTTTTAAAGTTAATGTTTGGCATATTACACGAGGACGTGTCAAGTTCAGGATGGCCGTGTCGGAGCGTACTGTATGTACGCACTGTATTTGATTGTTCCTGCGTGTTGCACGTACGCGCTGTGTGTGTATTGCTTTGTATGAGAATTCTGGTTATTACCAGAATTCCTGTGTGTGTATTGCTTTGTATGAGAATTCTGGTTATTACCAGAATTCCTAATTTCATCATACTAAAAAATATTGCATCAGCCGCTAATTGCGCCCTGATTGGTCCTTTGCATTTTGTCGCTTTAAGAAGTCCCGTTATAGCGCGACGACAGCGCTACAACGCTGTCGTCGAGTGTGGTTCGGTGCGAGGCAGAGAAACGAAAAGGCGAGCAGTTCAACTTTGAATCGAGAAGCCTGCGCATCGAAACTCGCTGCGCTATTAAAGCCATGGAAAATACTAACGACGCTCCAACATATATATAAAGTTAAAAGGACCACTTTCATTTTTTCTCGAACCCAACCGTCTTGTTCAAGCCCTTGGATGTACTGCAGCAGACCCGTTTGTACAAAGTCGGCATGTCGCCAATATGCTGGAGGGCACGATTGATTTCTATCCATTCGATCGGTCGCGTTAACTTAATAGCATTGTATATTGTGTAATTTATTAATGAAATACTTTAATTATTAATTAAACCTGATATTTATATTCGTTAAAATATCATTTAATGAACTAAGTGCTTACTATCTGGACCTTAATCTATGCTTAACTATTTATTTTGGCACATAGAAATATCCATGTATTTAAAATGTTATTCATTCTGTATAAAAAATGCAAACCAGCTCAACAAAACACGAGTGAATGGAACACATACTTAAAGTGTTCCAATTTCACATCTTAAAAAAGTTTACTGTCTTGACATCGTGTTATAGAATTATTTACCGAAATTAACCGCGAATTTTAACTCGGAACCATGTTTATTGTTATGATGTTATTGTTTGGTTTGCTTTTGTTTATTTTTTGTTAAATTTTCGAATAACATTATTAATACCTTGATCCAACTTATACCAACAGAAATGATTGGAAGAATAAAATCTGTTTACTGTAAAGACTTTGTGTAAGTACATTTTCGTATATTGTCAATGTTTTTGAATAGTCTTATTATACAAACCTTGCAATTAATAATCATTAGAGAATCAATACAATTCAATCAATTCAATACCAAGCCGTTTAAATAAATAAAACTATCGCCTGTGGCCGGCAAATTCCTTTGCAATAGTTGAAGCACTTCCTCTAGCTGCAGTAGAAATCATACATGATATATTAACTTAGAATTTGATTAATTATTTCAGAAGTAAGCTAAACTTTTTACTGGATTGTTAGTGGAGACCATTTAGAATGCTTTATCTACGTTCCAAATGGTATCAATTTTTGAAATATTCGGAAATGATTGAAAATATGCATAGTGTCTCCTAAGTAGATTTGAATTTTTGATAAGTAGAATTGTAACTTAATGTATAGGCGGTGTTGGTAAAGGCAATGCATGCAGCCAAGGAGTTAGTACTTTGAATCCTAGTGAATGTGCCATTTGATGGTAAAAATGTATGCTGAAGTTTTGGGCTCGATGCAAACGGACTTTGTTCTTGTTATTTTTAAGTTAAGTAGTGGCGGTGTTGATAGAGTTGATGCGTTGGTTCGAGACTTGGTGTTGTATTGTCAGTTTTTATTAGTTTTTTTTTTTAATACTAGTACAAACTATTGAAAATATTAAAAACGCAGATAGGACTGGGATATCTCCTAGTCGGGCAACTCAACTAGAGCTATCTTACTTGTTTATATTTACTTGAGTTTTTCACGGAAATAATAAATGATTTAATTTTCTAAATGGTAACTTTTTAATTTGGTTAACCCTAGATACATATAATAGTGAGTTGTACGTTATAGTTGTATAAACAAATTTAATTCTTTTATTATAACGGAGTACAATTATTTTCTTATAACGATGCACAATTATTTTCTTATAATAAAGTACAATTCTTTATTTATAATTAGGAATTGAGTTGTAGTTGGTTAAGGGCTGAGTGGAACTGGACTAGAGATTGAGAGTTCGTTTGTCATTTATAGGTGGATTTTCTGATAAAGGCGTGATTTGAGTTATGCGTAAGTGGCCTGATTGCTCATGATTGGTCACTTCGAAATGAGTGCTGGGTTTCTACAAGAAGGGTGTGATCTTTTGTTTTTGGGGTTCTCAGTGTGGGAGATTTGGTTATAAAGGGGACCGTAAATGGACTTTGATGATCTGTTCGAGTGTTGTTGTATACACTACTGGTGGATGTATTACTTCACCATCCTATAGAGATTGGCCTGTCCTCAGGCGGGATATGTAGGGTATAGTTATGAAATACGTTAAGGATGAGTTTCCGTAGTGGTTCCTCTGGTATTGCATTGCTCGATTTTACAATGGTTTCAATTTTTATCTGTCTTTAATAAAATGGCGAAAAGTTTGAGGCTTATTAGTGTAATTACAAACGTTGTAGTTGATATAATGTTGAATGTCTTATTATATTTTGGGTTTTCTAAAATGATTTGTTTTGTTTGTCAAGTGTTTTGTCTTGTGGTTGTAGGTGTAGGGAATAGTTTCACATTTAGTCGGGTTTTCCCTGATTGTTCAATGAAACCTTTCAATGTCGGAAATACGGTTTTTGCTAGTTGTGATATTAATATTTACTTTTTCGGATTTTAGCCAGTTTTGAAGGGCTGCGCATTAAAATTCTGCGTCTTTGTCTGCTTTGATTTCGGGGGACTTCCCCATGTTATTGAAGATTTTTATGAGTGCTCTTTTAGTTTCGAGCCAATCACGGCTTTTGACTTCTACTATGTTTCCGTATTTTTTTTAATATATGTCAATACAAGATAAGAATTGTTTGTTATCAATTAGATAAAAGCACTTTACGTATTTTTGCCTAGGGTTATATACTACTGGACATATATGGAAAGTTAATTTTGTGTTAATGTTTTCAGATTTTGATAGACTACAAATTTCGCATTCGTTAATGATATATTGTATTAATTTTTGATGGTCTGGGAAGCAGAATTTTTTTCTGAACCTGTAATACCGCGGCGAAGCAGTTTTTTTGTGATTTAAATGGATTATTTCCTTGAATTTAGCATAAGTGAGGATATCGTGTAGTTTAGATAAGGTTCGTAGGGCTTATGTTTTACTTTCGGGACTTCCGATTTCAGCGTAAGCTTTTTGAAATATTAAGAAATCTGAGAGGTTATGAAAATAGAGGACGTTGTTTTTTGAATAATGATATTCTTTAAATATGTTTTTGGCGAAAGTGTCGGTCATTTTTATGAAAGTTATTTTAATGTTTGTTTTGTGTAAGAAATGTGTAATATATATTTGGTCTTTTTATAAATTCAATTTGTCTGTTATATAATATAGTGGTTCTTTTCGAAATAGGTATTAGGTTTTGGTCAACTTCTTGAGCACTATGAGTGGTTGCTCAGGAGCTAATAAGTTCTCCTAGGAAATTTGCATCTAGTTTGATTCTAGAGAGGGCATCGGGTATGTGGTTTTCTTTTCCTGGTAGGTATTTGATATCATAATCGTAATCGTTTAATTTAATCTTCAATCTTTGCAGTTTTATATTTGGAACCATACTTGTGGGTTATGGTCACTAAGGATTTGGAATTTTCGACCTACAAGATATGGTCTGAAGTATTTAGTGGCCCATACGATGGCTAATAGTTCTTTTTCTATTTCCGAATAATTAAGGTCGCGATCGTTTAGGGTTCTGCTAGCGAAACAAATTGCTTTGTGATCCTGTGATCCTATATCCACATTGCTTGCGTCTGTCGTTAGAGAAAAGTTTTATTGAAATCTGGGTAAGTTAGTATGGGATCATTTGTTATGAGTACTTTTAGTTTCTCGAAGGCTGCGATGAATTGTTGATTGGTTATATTGATTTTTGATTCCTTTTTTAATCCTAAAGTCAGGGGTTTTGCAATCTTGGCAACGTTTGGGATGAACTTGAGGTAAAATCCTCAAATTCCTAGAAAAGATTTGATTTCTTTGGTTGTCTTGGCATTTGGAAATTTGAATATAGCTGCTATTTTGACGGGATTAGGTTTAATACCTTCAATGGTTATAATGTGTCCTAAGAATTGTGTTTCTCTCTTTAGAAACACACATTTGTCTGATTGTAATTTTAAGTTGGTGAACGATAGGTTTAATTAACATTTAGTTGATTTGTTTGTTGACTTCTTGGTCAATAATTTGAGGGTGTCTATTAGGGTTTTCTGTGTTGGATGTCGTTATAATCGTGAAGGATATTTTTAGGTTCTTCGTTTTTTTTTTCTGGATTTAAATTCTGTATTCATTTCTTTATTCTTTATTCTGTGTTAATAATATAGGGCTTTGGTCGGTTGGTTCGATTGGATTGAGTTGATCCCACGCAGATTGAAGAACATTATCTGACCATTCCATTTTAATTTGACCGCTAGTGCATTCTCTTAATCGTTTAGTTGGTTGGTTTAAGGATGGATTTTGGGGTTGTTCTTGAGCAAATTTTTGATAATTTAAATAATTCTGTTGTGCTCCCTGTTTTAATTTATTAGTATTTGTTGATTAGTTGAATTGATTTATTCTGGTTCTGGTTTGGATTAGAGTAAGATTGGTGACTTTTTGGATTGGGCTAGCGATGGGCTCCAAGTTGGTTTGGTTTGAAGTGTTTCTAAATTTATCCGTGATGATATTCTCATATAGACCTTCTCTTTGGGCGACTTGTTTTAAATTAGATACGGTTGAAATATCAAATTTCGCAAGGGTCATATAAAGTATGTCTGGTACTTTTCTGGTAATAACTTCTTTGACTGTGTTTTTCATTGCGATAGTGTAAAGTGTTACAGTAAAGTTGGTGTTGTAAAGCCGTTGCATTGAATGGACTAATCAGGGCGGTTCGGAAGAACACTCTCTGTTCTTCTCCAGTTAGTTGCATCTCAATAGTCTCGAACAGTTTCATAATGTAGTCGATCCTGCCGTAAAAGGGTTAGGACCCGGTTGAGGTGGGCGTCTGACAATTCCAGAATCATGTTGATTACTTGTTTTGATTAAGCACTTGTAAAATTTTAATTGTTTAACAGTGTTTATATCTTGCTAGATCCTTGGAAAAGCGAGTTTTCCTTAGTGGCACTAGTCTTAACTGTTTCTGTTAACGCATTTTAATTTTATCCTACCGGCTGCATAAATAATGAGCTTTACGTTTTAGTTGTATAAAAAAATTGAATTCTTTTATTATTACGGAGTACAATTCTTTGCCTATAACGATGCACAATTCATTTCTTATAATGAAGTACAATTCTTTATTTCTAATTAGGAATCGAGGAATCGAGTTGTCGTTTAAGTTATTAGCGAATTTAAGCTAAAGCTAGAAGTAGAAGCAAAAAAAGCATAGCAAAAACAAAGGGTTGCCTGAATGCAGATTGAAATATATATAGTCGTACCACATACGGTGACTGTGTGACGATGGTCTGTCTTGTTGTGCACTTAAAGAATGCAGAAGTTCCATAATATATCAATACAAAAGCTTGACCGGTTAGGATTTTCTCCTCTACTTGTCTTTTTTATTTTTAGTTCACCCATTTGACTTTTATATAAAATCTCTTCCTTTTTAATTTCTATTACTATTACTAACTTTTTTTTATTATTTCAGTATACATAATATTCATAGTCCAATATTTTTTAAGTTTGACTCTCTTCGCTTTTATATTTGACTGAATTCATCAGGCATGACTAGCCAAATATGGGGCAGATAAAATAACTCTGTATAAGCTTAGACTATATAAGAAATGAGTGCATGCATGAAATGCACCGGATGTGACCTCTATATATGCCATGAAAATATTATGAGTGACAAGAGTTAACTTCATCGTAATATGTCGCAATATACGTAGTGATGTACTGTGTGCGTAAGTAGCTATGATCGCATCAAAGGTTATTACTAATAGACAAGTGTGCGTCAGTTACTTGTGGATTTATACAATTTCTATAAATGTATATTTGATCCAAATTAATTAAGTTATACTTTTTTTATTTCAGATCATATTCTGAAATTACATTTTATCCTAAGAAATACTTCAATGTGCTAACAGGGCCAAATGGAACAGGAAAGTCAACAATTGTATCAGCCATCGTGTTGGGCTTGGGAGGTGATCCACAGTTGTTGGATCGGTCTTCTAGTATTGCTGATTATATCCAAAGTGGTAAAAACGCTGCAACAATTATTATCACAATTTTTGGAAGAAATGATCAGTCTACTGAAGCATTCAAGCGTATGATAAATCATAATGGAGAATCTCGATTTTTCGTGAATACGAAGGAATTCTCGAAGACAAAGTATCTGTCTTTTATTGCTGCCTATAACATTCAAGTCAACAATTTGTGCCAGTTTTTACCACAGGATCGTGTACAGGTAAATTATACTTTGTTTTATTGCCAAAATTTCAAAGTAAGTGTATCAATAACTAAAATATTCCAAGTCTTGATCGGAACGAAGAGCTATATCACCAAGTCAAGATTGCTAAATTTATTTAAAATCGTAAAGAAGTACATTTCGTCATGGTTTTATAGGCGTATTTTGTGTGGGCTTATTAGCATTAAGCAGCAAATCGGGTAACGCAATTTGCTACTCGACAGCTTTCGCCTGGAGCACTTGATGCTACTACTACTGCAGCTAAAGTTACGTTAGTACATATAAGGAAACTTGTTAATAGATTTTTGTTTCCAGTCGTCAAAATCTGGGGTGCTTGCCATTACTTTTCCGGCAGGTCCTAGTATATTTAGACAGTGTGAATATCTGTATTGAGCTGTAAGTGTGGCCATTAGTATTTCTATGTGGGTGATAGATAGACCTTAATCTTATGTTTTTCATGTGATGGTTATGAAAGAGATGAAGCGCTATGTTTATTGTATGTCCGATATATCCGTATACGTACCAAATTGTTCAGTCCCCGTCCATTATAGTGGGTATAATATACAAAGTTAATCGACTTGTATTTTACTGTAACAAAGAGAACATTGTGAACAATGTTTCCGAGAATGCAGTAAAACCTTTCTACTTGTCCGTTAAAATCATTCATTTATATTGACATTCGTTTTGAATTCAGGGACTTTTCATCTCTTCAGAATAAGATGGATTCTTTTCAGTTTGTGTATTACATAAACTACGTGCGCCTTGCAATTCTGTTTTTTGAACATGAAAGTTTTCAGTGATGGCATACTGCCTTCGTCAAATATTATTTGCTTGTAAGACTAAACAAAGTTTTAGGAGGCTGGAATGCTTGTATGGTCTGTATTTTATAAGGTGAAGTTTATATTCCAAATTAGTCACGGTATAATGGTTTTGTTAAAATGTTTGTAATAGGCAGAAGGATGACAGACCCAATATATATTAGTTCGCCTGTATGAAGGATACGATAGACAGACTTTAAATTGTAAATATAAATTTATGTATACCATACGGAGTATGATCTTAAACATTTTTTGGTTAACCAATTTTCATATCGATAAAAATCGATCATTTAATTTAGGTTTTTAAGCCTATAATAAAGGGATAGAAACATCAAATTTACTACGGATGTTCTTTTAATGATCACACATATTTTGAATTTTGGATATTTTACTTCCCCTTCTAAAATCCCTTTGTAAACTACACAGAGAGCAAAGTGGGCGTGTACATAGGTTGTTTGCTATGTATGTATACAAGAAGCATAAAATGATTCACAGTTTATATTTCATATGTATGAGGGACATCTTGAAATGCAATTAGAATGTATTTAATCAATATCTTAACTAATATATTATTTATCTTAAAAATTTTAGGACTTTTCAAAAATGAATCCCCAAGAACTTTTAGTGAACACCATGTCCTCTGTGTGTGACAATCAGTTAATAAGAAGTTTCACTGATCTTAAAGAAATGCGAATAAAACAACTAAGTGCACAAGCAGACCGAGAGAAACAAAATGATAAACTACAGCAAGAACAAAATCGATTGGAGCAGTAAGAGTTTATTATACAATATGTAAGTGATTACGTTTTTAAATATTGAACCATTCTACAATATAGGCTACAGGTTTCAATAGATCAATACCAAGAACGCCAAGAAATATTACAGAAGTTAAACCTTTATAAAGCGAAAAAACTTTGGACTGAAGTGAAAAGTTCTGAAGAAAAGATTGATAATTATAAGAGTCAATTGGATAAAGCGAAAGAAGATTATAACGTTGCAAAGAAAGCGTTTGAAGAAGAAAAAGGAGCCCAGGAAGAAATATTAAAATTAAATGCAGATTTACGGAAAAAAACTACTGAACAAGTAAGTTCATGACTGAAGATATATTTCTGCAACATTTTAATATATAATTTATATTTTGTTTTAGGATAGAAAAATAAGTCAAACAATGGTATCCATAAATAATTTAATTTCTCAAATAGAGTTTATAAAAAACCGTGTTAATGAAAGTAAATGCAATCTAGAGGTAAGAAAATTTAATTTTGAGGAGGGCAATGTGATTGTTTTCTTTATGTTTTTTGCAGAGAAATATTCAACAATCAACCAAGAGTATCAACGAAGTGGATAAAATAAAGTATTTATTAGAAACTAAACAACACGAGTTGCAGCTATTTAATGATACAAAGTCTGAGGCTTTAAATGAATTAGAGAAAAGAAAAGAAACAATAATCAAAACTCGTGAAACGACAATGAGTCATTATAACAAGCGCAGAGAACTTGAAACGCAGCTAAATGACGAAAAAATTCCAGAAATTACAGCACTTTGTCACAAGATCGATCGATTAGAGAACATGAAATCGCAGAAGATAGAAGTACGATAATAAATTAAATTATATTGTATATTGTAGTTATTTTTAAACATTTTTAGGAGCTGCGTGTTCGAAATCCTAACTTATTCAAAGCTATGAACTGGGTAGCCCAAAATAAGCAAAAATATTCGTGTAATATTTATGATCCAATGATATTTGAAGTATGTATATGATTGTTTTTGTTTGGCTTTAATAATAATTCATGTCTATTCTAATCATTACTTACAGTTGAGAATAAAAAGCGAGGAAGGAGCCATGTATTTAGAAAATGTTGTCAGGCAGCGCGACTTATTTGCGTTTGCATGTGAAGACAAAAATGATATGTCTGATCTTATCAATGAATTATGTGTAAAGCAAAAGTTATCTGTAAACGTTATCTACTGCGCACCAGCAGAAAAGTGTTTGTTTAAGCCTACTGTTCCAATCACAGAACTCACGTAAGTATTATTAACTAACATATTTATTCACTTAACCCTTTAAAAATGGGAAATCAAGGTATCAGGGTAGGGTAAACTGTATGTAACAAGCAGAAGGACGCCATGAAGATAAGCTGAGCCGATTTAGAGCCGACATGTCAGTCTGTTTATATGTATGAACGTGAAGATCTCAGAAGTGCTAGAGACTTGACTATTTCATTTAGGACCCTATATTGCACACGTAAATCAATTTTGATTCAAATTATTAAATAATTCGCACACTTTTTCACATATTTTATATACACATATAAAACTACTTCATTTATTTTAAACCAATTTAATTTATGGTAAATTTTAAATACCGACTGCAAATTTCCCGAAATTCTTTAAATTGAAATTCCGTTACATATATGTATATAAATATGTGAAAAAGTGTGAATTTTTAGAAAATCAATATTTAAAAGAATATGTTGAAAGTTTCAATGCAATCCGTTAAAAAATACAGAAATAATTTTTTTGTATAAGTTTAAGCTAAATGCAAACTATACTTGTTAAACATACAGTTAATCCATTGAAAAAGGTAAAGCAGGATATAATATACTTGTGCTAGTGTATGCTAAACCAAACGATATTGTATGTTCACCATCAGGACTATGACTTTGATTAGAAACTTAATATTATAAAAAGTTTACTTAAAAACATTTTAAGTAATAAAACGCATATTATTTTGCTAATTTTATAATAATCTCTTCCATGACAGACAAATGGGATTCAATGCGTACCTTGTTGACCTAGTTACTGGGCCGATACCTTTGATAAATAAGTTATGTGGAACTTATCAGATTCATAATATTCCCATAGGCAAAGATGAAGTTAGTAAATTTACTGCGTGCGTTCCAAAATCAATTCGAATCTATTTTGGAGGTAAGTAATTGATAACATAAGTATTTATTTATATATATTAATTAATAATAATAATAACTTAAATATATTGTATATTTGTTTTGCTTAAAATCAATGCCGTAGAGTCCGATCATGTTGTTCAAAGATTATTTTGAAAATAAAACCGATTAAATTTTTGACAAATTTAATTACTGACCATTGTTTCTTTATAAAATAAATTTTTGACGGCACCTGTTGTGTCCGTTTAGCAGTATACATTTAAAGAACGAATATTTGAAAGTATATTTAGATTTTTGCAGATTTCTGAGAGTTGTGGAGTTTTCGGCTGATGTCAGCATTAGGTGCTGGATATCTGAAATTTCGGAAGACAGCTGAATGACACGTTCCTTTTTATTTCCCATAATTTTGTGATTACTGCTACGGATATAGTAAAGATATAGGAGTTGAATGGCTTATTGGTTGATTAAAGGGCTTATTAGATTGTGAGATGTTCAAATTAATTCAATCAAATAATTAATTATTATTAAATTAGTTGCCGTAGTTCTTTATTTTAAATGGGGAATTAGTAGGAACAAAACGGGAAGTCGAGACTCAGTTAATTGGGATGGTCTTAGTAACTCCATGTTCGCATATAACTTAGTAGCTAGTATGGGAAGAGTTATCTGTTAGCTTGTATGTACAAAAAAAATGCACTAAAGTGCACGGTATTTTCTAGTCGGGCACTTAATCATTCATTAATTTCAAAACTGCCTTTTTTTTCTTGATAGGGAATAAAAAGTATTCTGTGATGGCATCGCGATACCGTGCTGATTTGATGCTAACTGAAAGTATAATAAAAAAAAAAAACCAGCTTATAACTCTTGATTTAAACCAAATAAATTCTCTTAAGGAGAGGTAAGATAAACTTTATTTTCTTTTCCTTTTGGTAACTATATTTGAATTTAAATTAAGTATAACAATAATTATTATATATGGTTGCCATAAGAGTCTTTAATTATTATGCTCATTCATCAAAAATTAGATTTCAAATTAAAAATTTCGACAATTTTGGGTTAATAAAAAATTTGACAACTGACTTACGTTAAATTCGATCTACTGATTATTAAAAATTTATATGTCCAATCACTATACTGAAAATCGGGAAAACTGTATATTGTTTGCAGTTTTACTGATGACATCTATTGAGTTGTTATTATAATATATTTGTGCCTATTGGGGACGTGGCGAATCGGAAAATCTATTTCACTCAAAATTTTGGAGCTAACAGCGTTTAGATTTGTTTTTCTTTGTATTTCAGACATGCGAAATCTATATTAGAAAAGGATCACATAAGGAACACTTTAAGAGACATTGATAATGAATTTGACCGCTTGCAAATAGTTCTCCGCCAAGAAGGAGATGCAAAAAAGAGAATTGAACAGAAATTGTCTCATTTTAGCAATTTGGCCGATGAAATAAGTAAACTCCAATCAAAAGTGAACATGATCAATAAATCATTCGCTTGTAAGTATAGACATGTAATTATATCCATGAAACATTTTATTTATCGGTTTTTTTATAGCATCGGATAATATTAAAAAAACATTTGAGAAAGCCGTATTAGTGGATTTAAAAAAAATATTTCAAATTGAGCAGCACTTACATAATTCTCTAGAGCTTACAGATAAATTAATGAAAGGAAAGAAAGTCAGTAAAATAATGGAAATCGCCCATTTACAGCAACAAGAATCTCAAATAAATACGCTAAAGGAGCGGGAAGATCAGTTTTTAAAAGCTTCTGCAAGTAGCATTTAGTTTAAAATAAAGAAATGTGTTTTGAATAAAGATTTGTATTTTAGACTTTAGTCAACAAGTTGACGGGATTACTGCAAAGTAAATCAGAAGAATTAAACTCAAAAACGGTGGAGTTACGGCACCTATGTAGTGGCAAACTGCCATCAAATGATGATTTTCCATTTAAAAATGACTTTGATCAGCTATCAAATCTTAACCTGGAACAGATTTATGAAACAATAGTTGAATTCCAAGCAAGATTAGATTGCATGAAAAATTTAAATTCAGAGGTAAGTAATTTGAAAAGTTGTGCTTAAAATTAAGATCAATATAATAATCCTACGGTATTACAGACAATTACAGATTTTCGCCAACGCCAAACGGAGGTCGAGGAATTAAAGAAAGTTATCGAAATGAAATCAAATCAAGAAAAAAATATAGATGCTGAAATTATAACGTTATACAACAACTGGGAGCCACAACTCACCAAACTAATTGAGACAATAAACAATAAGTTCAGTGAATTCATGGACTCTTTATCATACGTTGGAGAAGTCGTTTTATCGAGGAAAGACAAGGTATTCACTTTATTTTAGTCAAAACTGAAATAATTAACATTACGATATAAACGAATGCGTATCTATATTGATAGTTTTCAGAATATAAGTTATATTTTGAAAATATATATCTATATTACTCACATTCTGTATATTTCATTATAGTAGTAGCTTAAGCCTAATAACTGAGAAAAACTATATTTAAGATTGAAACAATATAAAATACTTTATTTTTATATCATTTTATTTGCAGAGCGATTTTGATTCTTATGGAATTCAAATAATGGTAAAATATAGAAAGGATGCTAAACTACAAACTCTGGATAAATATATACAATCTGGTGGAGAACGTGCTGTGGCCATTGCAATTTATTCATTGTCATTGCAGCACATTACACATGTGCCATTCAGGTAAACAATTATTCTATCGATCGATGACATCGTACGGTTCATGTTTCAGAAATAGCAAAATTTATTTTAAACGCGATATTTTGAGACCAAACCGAAATGGCTATAACTTATAATCCTATTTTGTAATCGTGGTCTGAAAATATGGACAATGCATTTTTTAATTTGCCATGCTCCCAGCAATCGTTATCACATAAATGTTGATCTTATTGCGATATACAGTTTTAAATTTTTTGGGTATAGATATATATATAATTTGGATAAATCAGTAACGGAAGTGAACAGTCATTCAATTGTTACAAATGAAGTTTCTTTATCCAAATATAAACAAATTAGAGTTCTCTAGTCGAGACTACTCAACTGGGAGATAGCTTAAACGATTATCTATGTATGCATTATAAACGCGTTCTGCTTACTGAGTAGCTTACACAACATTTATGTAAAACTGAATTCAAATTTGTGATTTACAAAAAACTAAGACTCCGCTTTGCTCTGCGTGTGATGATTATTTTATAATATTGTCTAGTTCCCCTGCAATGCCTGCAATGAACTGCTTACTTTTGCCTTCGCTTACAGTTGTCGTCCCTTCCTGGAAATATTTAATATATACTCGGGGCTTGACTTATAAAGTGTTAAGATATTTCCGATCCGCCCACAATGAGCGTGCGTTATCGGGAAACTCTTCATCTAATATATCAGAAACATTATAAGTGCTCGAGTCTTGAAATTTGGAAGGTCAAATATATATATATATATCTACGCGCATTAAAAGATCAGCCTTTCATAGAAATGAGGGTATTTTCTTAGTCAGGCATTCCCAACTAGACCAGTCTCGTTTTTAAATGTATGATATTGTTTGTAAATAACCTACTTTTTAAAGTGTTTGCTGAATTAGAACTAACTTTAAAGTAAGAATACAGGGATTTAGAAAATAGGCTTGCACTTTTATCCGCTGCAGACATCGGTGTAACAAAAGTACATGCAGTACAGGCCTTGATAAAGCTGTTGAATATGGATCCAGCGATTGTTACTATAAGTACTAGTAAGAGTGCCGAACAGGTTCAAGTTGATTATTGTTGCTACGTTATTGACGCAATTCAAAGTTCGCAGTTTTCTTGAATTATTAACAGCTTTTGTAAAAGGACAACGACAAATTTTTTGGGGTCGGTAACTTCCAAAAAAGGCATTTATTTGGTTTGTACTTATTATCTTTGATTTGTCGTGAAGCTTTTAAACTGAATTAGACAATTACCTTGGATTGTGTCCTTGTACTGATTTTTCTACAAACCTGGATCTACAAGTTTGCATTAATAGTAAGAATTTCGTTGTGAAATGTCCTCCGGATGCTTTTACGTACTCTGCTTTTACCTCTGTTCAAAAACGGCTTAGTAGTCGTATATTGCATACCTGTTACTTTATGTTTGGTAGAGGACTCTGTAAGTTCAGTAAAAAATATGAAAATATCTTTGGAGTTTCTGAGGAGCAACAAGGTTGGTGGTGGCCTGTGGTTTATCCTACCATGTTGACATTTGTTGTAATCATCAATTTGGGGGTACCGAAGAATGTCCAATTACCGTTTGCTGTGAACTGTATGCTTGGTAATAACTGTATTTGGTTGGTTGTTGACCCGAAAGGTTGTATTTGTAGTAGCCCATATATTGCCATTTGTAGGCATTAGATTCACGCGAGGGGGCAGATGTGGAGGTGGCTGTCTGATTTTCAACGTAAATGCGTTGCTGTGTTCTTGGTTTTCCATCAATCCAAGCAAATAAAGAGCATGGCTCAGGTTGATTGCTAAGAGACGCGGTAAGTATCAAAATTTCTGTAAAAATTTTTCTCCATAATTCTTTCTGCCCTTATTTGGCATAATATCAGAAATAGTAGGTGATAAACTGCCTGAAAGAATTTATTGACAGACTTTTGTTCTTGATTCTCTTTGTGTATTAGCGGGAATTAAAGGAAACCACCCCTTCATTATTTGATTTTAGCAAACGAACTGATTTATTCACTTAAAATTTTAGTCATATATATCTAACATGAGTATCTTAAAACTAGTTATCAAACTTATGGAGATATTTTTCACTTGTGTCCGTGCTTTACATGTTAAGCTGTACTTCAGGTTAATTTTACATTCTTATCGGCTGCAAAATTTTGGTCGTAGAAGATAATTGAGAACGCTTATTTTATTTCTGACTGTGTTTTAAATATTGAGGTGGTATCGTATCGAACCTAATGAAAATTAGTATATATTCAGGGTATAATGATTTTGTGGAAATGTACGTAAGGAAGCGTGGTAGACCCCACAAAGTATATATATTCTTGATTAGGTTGACGATGTTTTTTATTTGGGTATGTGTGTACTTGCCAAATGGTTGAAAGTTTTTTTTATTTAACGGAAAGGGGAAAGGTATCTAAAATCCGGAATGTTCCAAATCAAATGGAAGCAACTTTTAATGAATATAGAGTGATACCAAAAATATACAGATAACATGGCAAAATTGATACATATTAATAACAGTTTATCAGAAATTTGATTTTCGATGAACATAATCCAATATATTTATTTTTTTAGATGCGTGGATGAGATTAATCAAGGTATGGACGCTAAGAATGAACGTCACATTTTTAATTTACTTTTGAAAGAAGCTACTAAGGATGGTTCGGCACAATATCTTTTCGTTACTCCGAAGGTAAGTAGTCTTTACTGAAATGTAATAATTTTTTCTTATCTTTTCTTTATATTCTAGTTACTACTTGATTTGAACTACAATGATCGTTTATGTGTTTCAGTTGTTCACAACTCTGGATCTATTAAGTCTGATGTTGTATTCCCTTTGTGTTAGTAGCTTTCTTTGTAATAATTATTTACACATTTCATAAAAAAAAACGGTAGATTTTCCACACAGGATACGTCATAATAAAAAATACTCTTAAAGTGTCTTTCATTAGCTGTTGAATATATTTATTTTGATCACCTTATAGAGTTCAGCATTTCGAAACACCGCACAATTTATTTTAACACTATGTAGATCGGCGCTAAAATAAAATTTTAGATTTGAAATCGATTTTCATTTAAAATATGTAATTTATATACAATTGAAATTAATATTCAATAAGTTGAATTGAGGTTTTTACTCCCATTATATTGAGACTTAGTAGGCCAGTAGGAGACTTACGATAATATATATCAATGACTGCTGATCTAAAAAATCCCAACTATAATGAGGGCACACGCTTAGAACCCTACACGAGCGGGTAACCGGTCAACGCTTATTTTTGGTTGTGTTATCGATCGCGAGACTAACGACTAAAAGTACTTAACCAACATCTTTTATATGATTGAAAATCTATATGTGCTTAATCAAGCGTTTACTTTTACGTATACACAATCTTGCGGAGCAGAATTTAAAATTGAGTGCAAGGTTTGTTAGAGATAGTAATTTGATATCGAAATTAATATACTAGTATACTTTCATGCTTACGATTGGGTTAACTTTTAGTTAAGAGTAGAGTGGCAAGAATAGCCCATCATATAATACAGATAATTAGTATGGTCTATTGAAGCCTTGCATTGAAAAAAGTGCATCATCATAGATTCAGGTGATGGAAGATTTGCATTTAGATAACTTACAATAATAAGTATTAGTACTGATCTGTACTATGTACTTTATTTTATATATTTAAGTCAATTGAATGCTGTAGTACTAAAGAATGGCTTTTAATTAAATACTGTGCAACTAAAGCATTGCCATCAAGTTTCCAGTGTAATTTAATATTCGAATGTCATCCACAATACAATGTCGTGCACCGCTGATTTTTATACCCTTGAGGTATTATTTGCATTGAATCAGACACCTTAAAGTATGATTTTCGGAAAAAAAAAACGCTTTTAAAACTCGACATTAGGATAAGGCCTTGTTATTACTAAAACCAGTTACTATTCGACATGATGAAGATAACGATGTAGATGAAGATAATCGATGTCTGACTGTTGACTGGTGGCAATTCGTATGTGAGGCAATATTTATGTGAGCTTTATTAAGCGATGATTTGTAAGGCACATTTACTATTTAATAATAAAGAGTATTTGTTTATTAAATATATTGCGAATTGATTTAACAGTGATTTCCCTTTGTTAAGATACTAAGCGATACTAACCTACACATTTTTATTATAAAAAAAACTCATGGATATTATTAATTATAGATTTGAAATAAAGCCATGAAGTGCAAAACGGGCTAAAAGTGCTCTATTTGTGAGTTAAATTTTATTAAAAATGTTTATAACTCCCTTATTACGGAAAGATAGTGGGGTCTTAATTGGTGTTAAGTTTACTTATTCCTAACATTTCTATATTTCAGATGAATTAAATTTCAAATGAATTAATTTCATATTTGAATCGTATTCTAAATCATCTAAGTATTAATGACCATTCTGGAACTATTATTTTTAGATCCCATCACCTGCATGCTCCACTGTATGAACAACATCCCTTTTTGGAAAAATCATTATTCTTAGATATGCCACATATTAAAACAGTTTCATTCGTCTTTATAAGAAAGGTGGCTCAGATATTTTCAATTATAAGTGTATTACTAAATTGCTTACTATTCTCCAGTTCAATCTAAAGTATCAGCTGACAATTCAAACAAATAAAACCGCCAATTCGCACATGTATAGCGGAAGAGCGTACAGCTGAAACAAACTTGATCAGATTTCTTCTGAAATCGTTGCATTCATACATACGCACATACAAACAATCGGACAGTTCGTTGTCCATTGTTGTCAACGGAAGCCGCTTTCGATCTTTTTCTTGAATCATCACTAACAAACGAGATAAGTATCGATCTATGGATGAATCATCATCAGATCGAATTGATGGCCTATTGAATGTTTATAAAAACAAGTCAAGCGACATATATAACTCGCTATTAAGAAATCTTTGAAAGATTATACTATACAGAAAATGACTTAGATAATATAAATTCTAGTTTAGTGTTTCAAATATTGTTATAGGATTTGTGTAAAGCACTGCTAATGAAACGAGGCAATGCTACAAAATTTCACAATTCACAAATCTCACCAATATCAAATTGACAGACGAGTGTTTGTTTGGAGGGAACAGCCCACTTTTCCGTTTAAAAGTATTCGCTTGAATACAGTAACGTATGGGACAACTACAGCGCCATTTCTATCTGTTGAATGTCTCGCTCTGTTTGTATATTGAGTGCAATATTACCGCTTCGCAGCGTTCAGGATAACGCTTAGTTGAGTCGTCTCAAATAGAGCACTGTTACTTGTTTAGGCTTTTCTTTTATCTCGATCCAAGAAATCATTTCTTTTTTATTTGTCATTCATTTGTTTTTTCGATTTTCTAGCGCAGCGCGATTTCTGCATGGGTGCTATGAAATGTGAAATGTGCAGCTCTATGTCTATTATGGTTCTGATAGCTATGGGTTGCACACGGGCAAATTGCTTATTTATAGTATTTTCGCACTTGGAAAGGCATGGTGTTTCACCTATTACTTGGTTTTGTTGTAAATTGTATTGCAACGATTTCATTTACTAAGTTCGTCATTTCTGCCTGTTACATACATTTACACAATACCATAATACCCTGATTTCCCATTTTCAATTCGGTCAGGATTATTTATAAATCAATTAAACATTTGAACAAAAGTCATTCAAATGAAATTTCCTTCTCAATGTAAAACCAAAATCGGTCAGTACATGTATTGTTGTTCATAAACAGAGAAAAAAAATATATATAATAAAAAAAAAATCATGACATTAATTATACCAGTACCACAAGCACAAGGCGTAGCAGAGGAAATTCCAATATGGAAGAAAGTAGATTGGAGTCCCGAAATTGAGCAGCAAATTTATAAGGACTGGGGAAAATATTATTCTCGGCGACGAAGGGAGAATATTGCTATGAACTATTATAATAAAGCTTACCAACTTTCTAATGATGATTATATGACTCTTTACCATCGTAGCCAGAGTAAACGGAAAACTGCGCAAACTTTGGGTGCGCTCGAAGACTCTCTTGAAGCCCAAAGTAAGTTAGTCGAACTATGCTAAATATATTAAAACAACTTCTCGTTGAAACGCTGTTGCTGAGACTGTATATTTCATTATTCAGGGTACTAGTGACTGCACTTCAAAATTATTCGCATACATCCAAATCTAAATTTTTAATTACATATCATTTATCTGTGCACTTTAGAGTCCCCACTCCTTTTCGCCTGTGAGTTTATTGTGTATCAGTTGTCTTAATTATCATCAAATCAATATTTAAGTATCTTGAGCGTTGTCACTAAGTCTAAATATCTATTTATTCTGCATACGAGTTTACTGCTTAAGTCTAAGTAAAATTAAATACATAGAAAATTAAATAATAAGAAAGTTCTAGACGAGGATGCCTGACTAGATGAACCCCGTTCAATCTGCATTTTGTAAATTTTTTCCAAAGCTTGTATCTAGTTTAGGATAAGCTCTTATTAGGACTCAAGGACTGAAGCCAAAATCTCCTACAGTATTCTTTAGTCAGAAAGGCATGTGAACAAATTCGGGGGATTTGGTGGAATCTGCTAGCTAAGGCGAAAGTCGTGAAATATATTGATTTTCCTAAGCTATTCAAGATGTCGATGACAATTAGTTTAAGTCATCGACCGGGTTACAACAGTCAGGTAATCTGATACTCGCGCTATGTTGTGGAAGCACCTTCATTGATGACTTTCTAGCTGCATTTCCTAAATTTGTTTGATTCGAAATAAAAACAGCACAAGACTGATTATTATTCTGGTTTGACCGCACAAAATTTATTTGTATATATGTATGTTAGTTAAGAACGAAGTTATCAGCTCTGTTGTGCGATTTTAATAATCGATTATGCATAGGGAGGTTGTGTGTCTGATAACGTGTAGGGCCTCGATGTGTGCTCTTAGGCCTGAGAGATAGGGTCCGCGCAAACCAGACATACGGACGGGCTCGATCGACTTGGCTTGTCGTCCTGATCAACAATATATATACTTTATTAGGTCTGCTACGCCTCCTTCTGTCTGTTACATAACCAAATAACCATATTTTTTAAAAGCAATACAAACACCAACACAACAGGAAATCAGTCGACAGAGCCAATAATTAAGTCAGCCTACGTATGCCGGAAATAGCCAAGTCCAGTTTAAAACCGGACAGCGTCAGATAAGGTGAAATTCATTTCAACAACAACACAACACGGTGAAGCATAGCATTTGCACAAAACCATTTTACCCTGATTTCCCATTTTCAATGGGATCAGGGTATATAAAAAGATGCCAACTATTCAGATTAACAGAAAACCACCGACATCAAAACAAAGATTGTTGGCTCAACTTATTCTTTGTAGGTTTTGGTCTTGTGTTCTTGTGCTGTACCCGTATTTATCTATCTTAGACCTAGTTGGGGTATGAAACACAAAATAAGTTACTGTTGATGTTGTTTATTCATTTACCAAATCGGAAGAAGCCATATATTCCAAAGTTTTCAAGCTAAACACAGACAGGACAGGTCAATTCATTGAGTTATTTATCGACTTTTTCGTCAAATCTACATGTGTTTTGTATGCTTCTACCAATTGATATATCAAAATTATTGAGATTTTGGTGATTCGAATGCATTTCACTGAAACGGTTTTTTTTAGTTCAAAATATTCTGTTTATGGTGTGCTTATATGGCAAGTCGATAAAATCTGTAAGTTCTACAATTGTACAGTTTGAAAATGTAATGAGTTAGTTACATTTGCTTTCATCTATTTATGGATTAAAACATATAAAATCTGACTATGAACAAAAATATCTATGCATACGTTATCGATTCTTTTGTTTCGAGTAAGATTTTTTAATAAGCAGAAAGCATTTCCCTTAAACAAAAAAATAAGTATTCTTGCAATATTTTTGATTTTCACATAGTCGCCTCTATTGTATTATGGAATCTTCTGTTGATCGTCTCTTGGTCTCATCCTTGGTGTCCGTCACCTCTCCGTTAGTGCCGAACGGCAGGTACGTCCCACTTTATCTCGAAGCAGGCCCTGTAATAAGCACCCAAAACTCGACGGACGAATAAAGTAATAAAAAGTAAAAGGGAACAGAAGAAATATAAATTTTGTTGGCACTCACGAACAGTCGACTGAACCCTAAATCGGTAATCGAAATGAATCGAAGGTTCGTTACAATATATACATATGTACAAAAACCACACTCCTACACGATCCTATACAAATAATAATTTGGAATATAAGAACTACAATCATGCAATATTTCAGCCGTTTCATTCGGCTCAATAATACAAATTTAAAGTAGCAGCTGACAAAAGCCCAAAAAATATACACTTTTACACTCGGTTTTGCCTATTGAACTCAATTTTGCCTAAATTACTGCTTTATTATATAATGGATTCTATTCGATCATTAAATATGTGTAGAGAAAAAAAATGGGAAAATTTACATGCGAGATATGCTTAAAAAGCTGATTCGAATCACATCCATCTCACAGAAATAAAGATAGCTATTAATTGTTTGAGGCAAGCTTGATTTAGGCGTATTGTTACAAATAATTATTATTAATTATCGTTTATTAACTCCTGATTTGTGCGTGAATTGAAGGGTCAATGAATGCAGTATATACCGAACCGATCGTTCGGTGCACTGCGGAAGCACCGTCAAAATCAATATGCGTGTTGTGCTTGAATGATTACTTTTATCAAGTAAATGTTTAGGGTGAGATATGTTATCCAAAGCTAGCGCGCTCTCCACAGTGATTTGAGTAATTATTTTGAAATTTTTAGTATTCTTATTTTACGTGAATTTCATGAACTTTCCACAGAAATAAGTCTTTTCAACGGATTTTACTAATATATTGTCATTTTAAGAAATTTTAAAATTTAAGTCTGTGCTCAATGCTCCAATTAATCTGGAAGTTTGCGATGCACTCTATGAGTTAAACCAGTTCGAAAAAGCTAAGGCTGAACTTCATAATAATACACGTTTATTCAAGGGCAACAAGACCAAGGCTTTTGAAGAACGATTGATTGTGGTATGTACCAAAAACAGATGCTTTTCTCAATAGATTCCTAAGAGCATATTTTAAGGTTGATGACAACATAAAAGATGCCTGTGGTGAGGGCTTAAGCCCATTTATTTTGGAGAATGAAAGAATGATGTCCCATGTGAAAGACTTACTTAACGAGAAATTGAAGGTTGACAATCGGCCATTTTGGAAAATCCTAAAGGAACAAGATAAATGCGATGTATTAAGCGTTGCTGAAACCAAAGTTGGTTGTAAATGATACAAAAAGAGAACTCTTCTAATTGGTTTATATTATTAGGAGAAGTTACTGAGCCCACTAGAAATAGCAAGACGAAAACGTGCTTTTGATATATGTTACCAAGTTTATATTGATAAATCATGGGTAGACCTTCTTTTTCTAAAGAACCTAAGAAAGTAAGTTTTTGTTTTAATTAAGTATAATAAGCTTTCAGGTTTATTAATATGGTTAGCATCATAATATAAGTCACAGGTCGATGGCCATCTCAAAAAACAACTCATACTTTTTATATTTGAATACTAACTTACATTAATTAGGATAATGTGACATATTCGAGCTAAATTCTCAATTTAGGTTCGATTTGATTAAGACTTATTTTATTTACATGTGTGCCGAATCCAGCAATCCAAGTTTGCTTTTGGACCAGTGCAAAGGCTCCAAAGGTTTCCTGAGTAAATTGGTTGGCAATCAATATGAAATCGTTAAGAAGTTTTTGGTATGTTTTAATGTTCATGAATTAAAAATCTAGCAATGTAATCAATCTATTTCGAATCAAGAAAATAATACAAGCTCGATCACCGATGTATTTTGTGCGGTACAAAAAATATTCTAACAAGGATCGGTTACTCAAGTTCAGAGAAGCCCTCCTCTTTAGAATACAGTACCAAACGCGACGAAACATGATTTCTGTTTTACAAACCATAAAACGACTTCGGGACCAAAAAAATATCAAGGTAAGTTATTTTAATTAATTTGCTATTTGCTAAATAGTGACTAACATGGTATTTTATCTGGGGGTGATTGCTACCGATAAAGCTTAGGCTTATTGGCTTACTTCATTTGGGGATCCATGTAAAGACGGCGTTAACTGTTGAGTTGCGACTTGTCTTGTTGTAAATCAGGACACTTCTGTGTCAACGGTTGAATGTAGTAAGGCTAGTTGTTTCTTCTGTATTTACGGTTGATCAGTTGGTTTATTTACATCCACAAGTCATATAACTTAAACAATCTGATTCACTTTCCCGTCGGTTGTGATAGTTCCATATATCCGATCCTATTGAAGATCAGCGATAGATGTTTTAGAAATAGTCTTGAAAATTCGCAGTTAACATCTGATATTTGCTCTGTCAGTTAAATTAGCTTTACGTAACTAAAAAATGTGTAATTGAATTATTTAGACTAACTTTACGGCTAAACAATATTTTTGATTCTTTTGTTTCAGAGGCTTTCAAACTATATCGAGGAGGTGATGGGAGATTATGTTGTGATAAAAACCAATCGCATAATGCCATGGAAGCTTGAGTTTATTAATGAAGTGTATAACACTTTGGGGTTAGCTCTCTCTGAACAGTACGTTGTACCCAAAAACTTTCGAGCTTCTGACAGAAACCCAGTTCTGCAATTATTGTCTTTTAACCCGCACAAACTCAAAGAAATAAACACATTTGTTTTTGGAGATCGATCCACACATCAAGATCACGATTCGGTGGATCCCGCCATTATAAAATCAAAGTAACTTTTGCTATTTTGGTTAAACAATGAATTATATATTTTTTTACAGACGAATGATATCGCGTTTGGAGAAACGCATAATATTTGCAAAATATCCGATCGAAAAAGCGTATCTACTTCATCAAATTGCTTGCATTCATCTAGAGTCAAATCATTTTGACGAGTGTTGCTTTGTTGCTCGCAAGGCCCTGCATGGTTTGGCCAATAAGCTTCCTTTATAACGCTATAATGTTTAACCCTATTTATTTTCAGAAGCAGAGCAATGCAACAGTAATATATGGAGTTTCTTATGCATTATTGTGACAGTAAAGTCGAATGCATCTCTAAATAAAACTGAGGGTACAAGTGAAGCTTTGAAAAAGGCGCTTCTAATTGCTGAAAAGCTTCAATCGCCGCACATAACCGAATTTGTTGAAGCGTGTATTTCTGGCAATGAACGTATTTCTTTTATAAGAGGGATTGATAGTCGCCGAGAAAGCAAGGCAGCTCATAGTCGAAAGTCTTCCAATTAATATAATTTGCTGTACTCAAACAAAATTCGCAATGTACCAAATTGTTCGTTTTTAAAATAAATTGTTGATATTTCTAATATCAGCAGATATTAAATAGTCTAACTGGGGCTTTTGTTGCGAGCAGTAACTAAACAGTTGCTTACCATTGGGCTATAGTTATTGCCTTTCACTTTTAGACACATTCGTGTTACATTCAACATGAAATATGGACATCATAAAGTAAAGTATTTTCTTTATCAAGGCGATGAGCTAAGTTAATTTTGCACTTTCCGTCTATACGCCCGCCCGTGTATGAACACGTCGATGTCAGAACTAAGAGCTAGAGTAATCAATTTTCTTTAAGGTCCGTCTATAGTAAGCGCAGATCCGGTGTTTCATCGAAGTGCATTTTTAAATTACATCGTACTGCAGCCTCAAATTCTTTAAATTGAAGGATTGGATATGGATAATACGTGTTCGGCCATAGGGCCGTAGATATACTCTGATCTTATAGTTTTTGAACACGAAACTTAAATAGTGAATTGTTGAGTATAAGAAGTTACAGTATTTCATATACCGATGCAAGAATTAACGAGTAAGAAAACTCTAGTCGGGGTGCCCGACTAGGAGATACCCTGATCCCAGTCCTTTTTGAGTTTTTTAATATTTTCCGTAACGAGTATTCAAAAAACAATACTGCCACTTCATAATTAAAAAAAAAATTGAACAATAAAAAATGTCTCGTCGCCGCGAGGATCGAACCCTAGACTAACGAGCGCCGCCTCTACCAACGCAGCCACTGCACTGCTTACTAAAGCAGTTGCAAATTTGAAGTTAAGTAGCAGCTAATATTTCAGCACGATTCAATCGCAATTTCCATTCTTCGAATAGACAAGAATACACGCATTTGAATGTATGTGTGCACACGCATAGGAAAATTGCTGACATGTGCTTTTGCAAATTGACCAAACGTTTTGTTTAATAGCTTCTGTTTCACTTAATGGATTTTAATGAAATTTTCAGCATATGATCTACATATCCTGTTGGCTTGGTTGAGATGCAAACGCCTTCACATCATGGCCCTAGATTCAACTGAACTTACATTTTAAGAATTTGGGGAAATTTGGAGCCGGTATCCAAAATCCAACAAAAATCAAAATTGCATAAAATATAGATAAAACTAATAACAAAGTTTGGAGGCTCTAGCTCTTGACACGTACGAGACATAATTTATTAATTGCATTTCAATCATGTTTTTAATCGATAATTAAATGCGAATAGTTATCGAATATTTGAAACAAAGTCGATATGCGCGTGCTATGCACGGACCTGCAAAGTCTCCAGCTCTTATAGATGCTGAGATCCACGCGTTCACACATACGGACAGACAGACGGACAGGGCTCAATCAACTCGGCTTCTCGTCCTGATCAAGAATATATATCCTTTATGGGGTCTGCTACGCATCCTTCTGCCTGTTACATACATTTGCACAAAACCATTATACCCTGATTTCCCATTTTCAATGGGATCAGGGTATACAAATTTACGGCTCGTTTGGGGCGTGACATGATAAATATCCTGTAATTTTCACAGTCTTAGAGCCGTAGTCCCAAAATGTATAGATACTGATCAAATGGGTTATCTCGACTTGCGAGTAAATCATTTCATTGATTGTTTCCTGACTTAATCGTCAAATGTTAGGGGATATCTGTGAAGGTTATTTGCGCTTTGCTTGCTTCTATAAATTAACATATTATAATTATTATATAAAAATTACAAATATTACATTCATGGTGATTCGGATACATTTTACTGGATGGTAATGATATTGTTTTTTAAGCTCAATTATACCGTTTTTACTTTTAATTATAAAACGAATTTCATATTGAAAGAAATTTTTTGCATGGTGTTTATGAAAGTTTCTGTATAGAGATTTCATAAATTTTTGTCATTCATAAGATGTTCCGAGGCAAGCTGATGAAAATATTCAGACGTATACATTTTATGAATTCCTTTTTCAGTTTCGATCTGTCTGTTTGTATTTTGGTTTGGTGTTAGTTTAGTTTTTTTTTTTATAGAAATTCAAGATATAATTGTTAATTGTCTTTTGAGCTCTGTATTGAGTATTACCATTTGAGTTTGTGATTTTTGTAAGTAACCGATGATTCGACAATTACCTAATCCTTGTAAGAATTAGACGACACAATAAGCCTGCAATATGAAATTAAATCAAATGTGCTTCTTAATTGAATACACAGAAAATGGGAGTTCAGGGTATAATGGTAAAGTTTATGAATTCTTGATCAGTACGAAGAACTGAGTTGATCTATCCGTCTGTCCGTTCGTCTGAACGCATTTCCCATTATATAGCCCATGGGAAAAGTCCAGCCGCTGTTTGTTTTGTGTCTTGAATGCTGAAGTCCATGTTTTGTGATTGGCTTCTGGGATTTCTTGCCAATGTGTTTTTGAAAGTCTTATATCAGCTACTCCTTGATTTTGTAGTTATTCTTTTATAACAATATTAAAATTGAATATGTGTCTGTTTATATTTAAAGTTCTTATAACATTTAATTTATTTACGTAGATATTTTTTCAAAATGATTTACAAATTGGATTATACAAAGGAGATTCAATGGGATTATGGATTTTTAACGGTACCATACATTCACGATAAATCAAACCTATAAAATGTCTGTATATATACAAACTTTAACTTTTTCAGAAAAAGTGTAAAGATGCGGGCATAGAAGATGAATTCGAAACTCACCAAATGCGTCTTAGGGCCAAGTGCGTCGGCCTGTTTCTGACGATTCACTTGTTTTTCACATCATTACATAGCGCTTTGTTATTGACGACTTGTGTGGTGATGCATTTCTTAAATAATCATCACTTTAGATGAAATTTAATTGTCTGCGTACACAGTACCTGGATTTAATATATTTAGATATTTTCTGCTATTGGGGTGTGGCCGCTATCATCATTGCAGTAATGTGGCCTAACGTAAACGTGGAATTTGCGATGAAACATAAATTCATGATGACCCTTACGTCGGTGATAGCCGTACTGACTATTGTTTCAGTTGGTTAGTATCTGTATTTCTTATACACCATGTTTTAATATTACTTATACAGATCTGGTGTTGAACTATTTGCACTATCGATATAACGAATGGTTATTGGATTCAATCTTCGATGAATACATTATATTAATGATCTATATGTTTTTCCCGATTCCACAAGTCTATGCGGCGATGGGGCTTGCACTTTGTGTGACCGTAATCTATGTAGTTTACTTCGCAGTATATCTTGGCTCCGAATACCGATATAAGCTGGGTGATGAGACACGGTTTACCCAAATCATAGTTGAGCTATGCAACTATATTTGCCTAAATATGATGGGCACCTATTTTCGCGTAATGCTCGAGATTGTCGTCCGCGCTTCACTGCTTGATCGGCATCAGTATGTGATGGAGGATACTGCGTTAAGGAGCGCACGTGCGCAGGAAAGATTATTTTTGCATAGCATATTGCCACCGCAAATAGCTCAGCCCATTCAAGATGATATTCGAAAACGGCTTGAGGCCATTAAAAGGCAACACAAAATGCCCAATATCAGATCACATCGAATTATATCCATTCAAATTCATACCGATGTTACTATTCTGTATGCTGATATAGTTAACTACACCATGTTAACGACAACGCTACCCGTTAAGAGACTAGTCGCTTTACTGCACGCGTTGTATGCCAGATTTGACAAGGTTGCATCTCAATATTCTGTGCAACGCATCAAATTTTTAGGCGACTGCTACTATTGTGTTGCGGGCCTGATAAAGCCAGATCCGAACCATGCCCAAAGCTGCGTCGACTTAGGACTCAGTATGATTGATAGTATTCGTGAAGTGCGGTTGGTACTAAAATATAATGACTTTACTACAATAGTTATCCTAAAATGTATGTAACTAGCAGAAAGAGACTTGGCCGACTCGATGACAGTTAGAAGGAGGTGTGCAACACCCAATTAAACTTATGTATTATTGATCAAAAGACGAACTGAGTCGGTCTAGCCATGTCTGTCTGTCCATCTGTCCATCTGTCCGTTTATCCGTCCGTTCGTCCGCCGCCCCTGTAATAACTACAAAGGTTTTGTATATTTTGGACTTCGGATTTTGGATTTTGGCTGCCTCCCCATCGCCTCTTCCCCAGCAAACTATGTATTTCAAGCACTTTAGGCTTCTGCTTTCACAAATACTAGCATCTGAATTCCATAATTATGCTCAAGAAATTAAATTCTCATAGTACATCCCGTACTGCATCCCGCAGTAAGTGGAGCGCGTGCTTGTGTTTGCATGTATTTAAAAAAGACATTATGATTGTGGAATATCACCTCTTTGCAGGGTTCAGGGTATCTCATAGTAAGCCGCCTCGTCTAGAACTAACATGCTTTTAAGTGGCTTTCCTTTACTGTATCTTCCTATTTAGAAACAAGGTAAAGATTGACATAGACATGCGGGTAGGTGTGCACTCGGGAGAACTGTTTGCAGGCGTGCTTGGAACAGCGAAGCTTCAGTATGACGTTTGGGGTAAGCGGAATTTGCTCCAATCTCTACTTGTAAATATATATCTTTGCAATAGGTATAGATGTATTAATTGCGAATCGATTAGAGTCAACAGGGACGGCTGGCCAAATTCATGTTAGTGAAAGGACTCTCCAAATGACTGACGACAAGTACAAAGCATATCCAGGCACCGAAAAGGCGCGTAAAGATACTTTCCTTCAAAAATGCCAAATCGCCACTTTCCTTATCGGTGTTGAGGAAACTACCAAACGCGATTTAAGTGGCCATGTTTCTGTTAATTCAGGATACTTCATAAATGATACAATTGACAAAGGACTATCATTAGAGGAAGAGTTGAAAAAGATGCCGCTCGGTCCTGATGGGTAGGAGTATTTTCAGTTCGCCGCATAACAAAATAATATGATATCTTTAAACAGCCTGAAAGAGTTCATATGTAAGGTATTTAATTTTAAAAACACCGGACCCACATCATCTGCGGCTAGCTCCGAAATTGGAAGTTTTCTATTGCAATTTCACGATCCTCGACTGGATTATAATTATATCCACCAAGCCGATTACATGTTGAAATACAGTGTTCTTCTAGCTTGGTGCTGCGAAATGAGCCTCATATACGTACAACTTATGGATAGCCTTCATATGAATTCAATCTCATTTTCTGTGGTCGTAATCCTGATATTTACTTCATCCGCGTTATTAATTATAACTTGGTGTAAAAAGATCTGCTATTGGCGCTATTCCTCATTGTCACATACGTACTCAGCTGTTACCTACTTCTTATTTAAACTCGCGGATGGTATACAGCACAGCCTCATCCAACGTATTGTTATATATGTGTACTTCATTGTATCTTACTTTTGTATAATAGCTATTATACTGGTTTGTAGCTGACGTAGCTGATTTTGATTGGCTAAAAGTTTCTAACAAGATTTATTTTATTTAGAATAACTGTGATGAGGATGAATTCCAGCTATTGCAAATCGACAGCATAGTGTACAAATACGACCCTGATAATAAATTGTGCTTCTCTCCATGGTCTCTGACGTGTATGGTGTGCCTTATTATAATGATGAGCATAATTTTTACACGCATACCATTTGGTATGAAAATTTTAGTTGGATTTTTAGAGACTGTCAGTTATTTAAGCATCATGATTTATCAATATGAATACGTTGTACATAACAGCTTGACAACCAACCCATATTTAATATCTGAATACGCACACTGTCTTCTGATTGTAATAACTTTGTGTATTATATTTTTCAAGGAGCGACTGATAGAATTTAACAACAAAATCAATTACAAGTGAGTAAAACCTCCTGAACCTCTGATTTCAGCAAGTACATACAAAAATATTTTAATTAGATGGAGAGTGGAACTAATAAAAAAACAGAACGATTACCGTATAGCCGCCCAATCTATAACTATTTTATTGCATAACATTTTGCCAGCCCATGTTGGTAGGACAATTCTTTGCTTTGTTCAAATTTAGGAGATATAAATAAATTCTTTTATTGCAGTAAATGTCTATCTGACTTCGTTAGCCAAACACGAATTTTACTATGAGAATTATGACATGGTGGCTGTTATGTTCGCTTCCCTCAAGAACTTTGAGATGACTTTGCCCAATTTGCGTGTTCTCAACGAGATTATTTCCGAATTTGATCAAATCGTAAGACCTTTAAAATATGTTTTCTATTTGCAATTCTTAATATTTTTAGTATAGTTGTATTATTACAGGGACAATTATCGAGTGGAAAAAATCAAAATCGTGGGCTCGACATATATGGCAGCTTGTGGGTTGGATGTTCATACAGAATTAAGTATAAAAAATGAATCAGATAGCCACAACTCTCTTATTCAGGAGGGTGAGCGATTAAGTTAGCTGATCTTCTGTTTATTATAAAAATTCTGTTTCATTGCAGTCCAACGTGCACGCATCTTGCAAGCGTCTTACCTAAAAAGAAACTATTCAATAATCGACGAAAAGGAAGAGGTCGTCTTCGTGCTAACAACGTTTGCCTTGGATCTGATGCGAACGCTTTGGGTGTGCAACAATGATTATAAGAATATTCCAATTGATCGTGCTGTATTCAACGCCGACATGAGCATAGGGATTTCCAGCGGGGAGGTGATGGCCGGTGTGGTGGGCGCTTCGCAGGTACAGTACGATATTTGGGGACATGCTGCTAACATGGCCTCGCGCATGGACTCCACTGGCGTTGCCGGCAAAATACAAGTGACTCAGAATACTGCCTTTATACTAAAAAAATATGGGGTAGAATGCAACTACCGCGGAATGACCTTCGTCAAGGGTCAAGGCATACTGCCAACCTATTTTGTAGACATCGATAGTAACTTCGAATTTAGGTATAAACAAGATAGTTTTTAGTCGACTTAAGCCAAATCAGTTTTAAGCTATTTTATAATACGAAATCAAAACAATATCAAAATTCTCTTTGATACGGTATGATCTCTATTTTTTAATATTTTCAATATTTTGTATGGAGTATTAAAAAATAACAAAATAAAAACCGACATTGCGACACCAACGTGGATCAACGTTGGTAGACTCACCTCACCTAACCACCTTATAAATAAAAAAAAAACAATAGAAAAAGTCCCTTCATCGCCAGGCTCGAACCCACAGACTATTGCTTTAAGTAGCAGCTGATAATTCAAACACAGTTCCATCGCAATTTCGATTCTTCGAATAGAACAGAATACACGCATGTGAATGTATGGGTGCATATGTAACGTCTTTAGGTTTTCCATTTATAACTGTTGCCAATGTTACATATCAATGCATGAAAGCAATTGTAAACAATCAACCATATATAAATCCATGACGTATTTAATCGTGGTATTCAAATTTGTATATTCCTGTATATAAAAATTCTTTTGTGAGCATACTTTTGAATGTCCTCTCATGTAATGTTTTAATTGTTTTAATTGTTTTAATAAATAAATAAATGCATTTCGATGCCTGTAATTGAATTGGCCTAACATAATTTTGCATCTTTGGAGTTTCATGTTTGGCTTTCATATGTTCTTCAACCATTTTCAACGTTTATGATAGCTTAAGGTTTCCAAAGAGGTATGAACTGATGTATTTTGTAGCCCAGACCATTGTCAATCGTTTTTTTCATTAGCTGAGTAATATGTTTGCTAAGACAGATATTGATTGTGAATATGAGCGCAGTTTGGTATAAACTTTTATTTTACTTTGTATTTTTGATATTGGAAAATTAGTTACGGCATTGCCAAAAAATTGTTTCCTTTTTCATAAATTCATATTTATCAATTTGAATCTTGAGGCTTGCTTCACTTAGTTTCGTAAATACCTTTTTAAGTGTGTTTAGCATGTGTTCCTCTAACCAATTGGATTATACTATTATATCATCTAGCTATAACAGGCAATCTTTCTAAGTAATATCTTCCGTAGGATTACACTTCTCACACACCTCTGGAAAGTTGCTGGCAAATTTATAAGTGGTCGCAGAGACTTGAAATTTGGAATATATAATCATAAGTACAACATTCACATGGGGGAGGCAAAAATCTGTATCTTCTAAAGTACTGTTGACTGTTGACCTTGATCTATTCAAAATTAGCTGGCACCGCTTTGGCTGTGAATGAGTATTATGCTGTCGATAGCGCCCGACTGAAGTATTCTTACTTGTTTTGGTCAAATACACTTTAATATTAATTGATAAATTGATTATCCAATGTTATTTTAAGGCATCTGGCACTCGAAGAACGAAAAATGAAGTAAAAAAAGTTTATAAAATTTATTAAAAATGTTTGTAACATGTTGACATTCATTTAATAATATGTCGACGCATTTACTTATATTTATTATAATAAATTATTTAATCTCTTAATGTAATTTATTAATTTACTTAAAACAATATGATATTTTGTATCCATAACTTAAAAATAGCTCATACTGTACAAAACTTAGTTTAGGTATATAGGTTTCTACAATAAAATGTGTTAACTTTTTTTAGCAATGAAATGTTTGGCTGCAAGCCTCTTTGGGTTCGTTACATTACAAATAATATAGAGACATGTTCAAAAGCGCATGTCCAATTACATGTCCAAACTGGTTAATCTTTTTCAGCCTCAGGATAACAGATACGTGTTACACTATACGTGTCTCATCTGAAAAGACAGAAATTAATCAATAATATTTGAATGTATGTTAACTAAAAACATACTTCGAAATGTCGAATTTACCTTTAATACGGAAATATAAAATATTTGATTTTTCAAATATTTTTTAACTTGGAGATTTGGAGGCATACTAGGTAGATTTTAAAATGCAACATCATGTAGTTCAGGTGTCGTTGGCATAATTTTAACTAGAAGATAAGCAGATTATTTTATTTTATGTCTTCATTACGATATGAATTTAATGAAAATTAAATTTAATTTACCAGCTTTAATTCCATCCCATTCAGGATTACATGTTTGATGCGCTACAGGAAGATCCTCCGCGGCTCTGTTATAAACTTCCAAATCTGTGCATAGTTCGTGTTTCGTAATGTCTTCAATGTCGAATATTTCGGTTACTTGAATTTTGTTGGTATTATTATCTGAATAATAATACGAATATAGCGAGTCGCTATGCGCAGTCATCTCAAGGACATGTCCGACATCGTTTTCAAGAGGTGTTGTGGCACTATGTAAGATTGACATTGAGTACAATTATTTCATTTAAGGAGTTCCCTATTTAATTACCAATTCTCGACCAGAATTGAAACTTGTGGACCATACACCTGGTTGGAGTGCAATAGGCCAGTTGCATCAAAATGGGGCTGATCGTAAAGCTGTGTGAAAAAAACCCAAAATATTTGTATTTTAACAAAAGTTGACCGCAGCTATTTACTTACTGTAAATTTGTTGAGGAAACGAATTGTCATAGTATTGTTAAGCTGATCAATAAACTCTTCCACTATATGACGCATTTGTTTTGTCAGTTTTGGCGTAATGGTGGTGAGTCTACAAAATAAAATGGTGTATTCATTGTATTCAATTAATAAAATTGTATTCAAATAAAAAAATTAAAAAAATAAAATGATCAAATCGGAAACTCGATTTAACCCACTTTGATATTGTGGCCAGGAAAAATTCCATCGGTACGGTTGCTGGCAAAGAAAGCAATTTAATTCCACGATGTTTGAAAATCCAATTGGCCAAGCCTTTGTTAGCCTGTTCTATATAGTCTTGTATAACCACCATCACTGTTTCTGGCAGGTTTGAACTCAATGCATCCTGCAAAATATTATTGAAATTATTAAAGTGTGTGCTATGTGTAAATGTATGAACTGCATACCTTTCTATGTTTTTTACATTCGCGGCATTCAGACTCATTCTCTTGCGATGGTGCAACGGTTTCAGAAACTACATATGTAGACTGAACGGCTATGCAGCGTCTGCAGTTAATCAAGTTGTTACGATGCAGAAATTGCAGTGCATCATCGAATCCCTGCTGGCAGAATTTTGAGAGGAACTCTGCTCTCGGCGGAAACAGAATACGTACAAAGCGGTTGATGTTTTGGCGCGATATTTCGATACTTGTATTGGCCCAGTTTAGATGGAAAAGTTGTGAGCTCTGATCACGTGGGCAAATATCGCTTTCTCCGCAAAATGGGCTCACAGTGATTGTGTTTTCATCTAGAATTGGTAAGTTATCCGAAAATGCACCATCCATATAGCGCACGCCACGGAATCGCGGTGGTAAAATTCCGGAAAACCCGGGAATAAAGCACGCACAAAGTAAAGCTTGCAACACTTCTTCACGCGAGTTAAACTCAGAAATGATCACGTTCTTGCCATCGTAAACACGCGTTAGAGAGATATGCAAACGTCCGCTGACGCGCTTATGCGTGTCATGTGGAAGATGTTTCTGGAGCCCTTCTAGCAAACAAGTTTGAATATTGAAAGACGGACTGAACGGTCCAAGCGAATGACGTCGTGCCTCGTTTACCACACGAAAGAAGTCCGATGTCATGCTACCTTTAAAGAGATGTAAAACCACTCAAATATTAAAATATTCAATTCGCAGTATTATAAGGTATATAAACAAATTGTATTCACTATTGTGTACCATTTCTGATGCTTTTAATGATTTAGATGACTCTAACGGGGACCCTGTAAGACGATCGGAAATGACGTGTGCACATTAAGTTGTTTAAATATTAGTTTGATTTGGCCTTCGTCGAACATATAACCGATAAGTAATTATATATATATATATATATATATATATACATATATATATATATATATATATATATATACATATATATATATATATATATATATATATATATATATAAATATATGTTCATGACAACTGTTTTGTTTTAACTCAATATGTTATAGTTCTGCGTATGCAATAGCTAATCAACAATATTTTAAGGAAAATTTTACCACATAAATATTTTCATTAGGCAAAAGGAATTAGGAGTTAAGTAGCCTAAATGATATTGTTGCTGACTTGCTGACAACGATATTTGAAGCATTTGAGCAGGTTCTAGATAGCGTATCAGTCTACTTGAAAACGCGACATACTAAAGCTCAGTTCCTATGCATAGGCTTAGAATTTCAAAAACCTACGAAAGGTATTATCGGATTCTTGATTTCAAAATTTCATTGAAGTTGCTATTATCTAAAGCATACATATCACATTATGAAATTGGTAGGACATATATTAAATATATTTAATATAATATACTATAATTATATATATATATATACATTTTAAATAATAAATATATCATATTGTATTACGTTTTAACATACAAATGCCAAATGCATTCTCGTGAATCGTGACACTTATTGTTTAGGGGTAGTTTTATAATAATAAAAGGAGACGTAAGGGAAGTGTGTTTTATTTAGGGTTCATACTGAAATGTGAAACAAATTTACATGTCAGTCACCCAGCTGTTTTGCAAACTAGAACTTACTGTGCAATTAAAAATATTTGTCAATATTATACTTACACATATACCTATACATATACAATTATTAGGAATACACATAGAATTGTTTGAATGTGTGTATTCGAAAGTGTAAATAGACCTCATCAGTTACAATGAAGCGTACTGGAAGCCAGCCGCTTCACCGAAAGACAGCTGCTAATATTTATAGTAAATAAAAACACTTTCATGGGAATGTACACATAAACATATGTACGTATGTATGTATGTGTACGTTTAATCTAATAGGAAACTCATTCACTTTGTTTTGCTGAATTGATAAACTCGAGCTAAATGGAATTGACGTCAATTGGGACCTACTGTAAGAACATACGAACATTATGTACACATGTACATAAGCTGTTCTATGTACATATGTACATACATATTCTTACAAAAATAAAACATCGGAAGATCAATAACTCATTGTTTATTTGGTTTGTCTATCGAACCATAGATGTATATGTCTTATTTATATACATACATACATATGTATATGTCTAATTTATATATACAAAGGTAGGTATATCCGCTGACTGATATCAACTTTCGATGGTTTATTATTCGTTTCAAAGTGCGAAAGTCATTAACCAAAGAGAACAAAGCAAATTACTCGCTAGAAACAGTTATTTGTACATACACAGGCACACGAGCACATACATATGTCCATATCATGCAAACGGGCACACATACATATGCGACGCATCTTTTCTAACTGCTGCAATTAATCTGGAACAGGTGCAGCAATATATCATTCTACCTGACTGCCCACCGAACTTTCTACTAGCATGTAGTAAAAAGATGCAGCAACAGGTAAAAGTATATATATTCGTTTATATGTATATGTATAATGCGGAAAATTTAAAGAATGGGTTTTGACTGGTGTCATCCAACTCCAGATACATTCATATATAGACATATAAATATTATTGTTTTTCATATCAGCATACAGCACTCTTGAAAAGTACAATTGAAAACGTGCCTACACAGATAAGCAAAAGCGACCTTCATAAAATCAAATATTTAGGTTTATACGTAAACACAATATGAGAATTTATTTTTAGGGCTCGTAACAGTTTACAAACATGTTTACACATTATACACACACATACACTAATACATGCATACGCCCGTTTGTGTGTGTATTTTCAGCTCGTCCGCTTTTGTTGTTGCTAGCTTACGTTTCCGCAGCGACGAGCCCCCAAATGGGAGTGTTCCCAGCTGGCTGCAGAATCGTTTGTATGTGTGTATAGGTCTTAAATTTAATTTTCTATTGTTTACTGAACATAGGTCAATACACCAAAGTCAAATGTTGCGGCCAGTTTTTTAAATATACATATATAAATATATATATATATATATATATATATATATATATATATATATATATATATATATATATATATATATATATATATATAAATAAATAAATAGATATATACATATATATATATATATATATATGTAGGTATGTATGAGTGTACATATATATAAATTACGCATACCTAGTGGCAAATCGCATAGTAGGCAGCATGCTGCTAAGGAGCCCGCCGAGGCTCCTCCAATTTTTTCTAGAAGTAGATGCGGCGCGTACTTCTTAAAGGAAACAGCAACGCCGACATGATATATTCCAAGGAAACCGCATCCAGCAAAGGATAAATTCATATTGTGTTTTTTATTATCACCACTTCAGATATTTATGTATATGTGTTTGATAAGAACGTTTTAATTTGCGCGCTTTCCAACTTGACTATTGGCACCGAAAATATACACGTCTTTGATTAGGAAGAAATTTTTGTTATTGTATGTTTTGCACAGTATTGATTAAACTTTTTGTGTCTTCGTTGATTTTATTTTACTTCCGATCAAAATTTTCACCAACCGTTACTTACAGCTGCTATAATAACAATGAACAAAAATTAGTTGCCGCAATCGAAAACTTTGTTGCAATCGATAAACTTGAATGAATTTCAGCCTATTTTTTTTTAGCACAAAACTGCAGTTTAACATCGATAGTGATATCGATAGTTTCCGATTTAAGGCGCCTAACAACTTCTGAATATTTATGTTATTTTTAAATGGTTTTGCCCGAAAATTTAATTTCGAATTACGAACATGAAACATGTACAGGTTTTCTAAAATTCAACAAATAGTCGCAGAACAAATATCTATACTAAACATTGAGATTGAATATTTACACATTGAAAAAACCATTTATGAATTATGCATTTAAGTGTAAGGTAATCTGTAAGTATGTAAATGCTATGCCCTACTATTCTTTTTTAATTATTAAAATGAAACTATACCCAAATCACACCCAAATCATCGATGAACTATCGATAGGTCCATCGAATACCACGGCGAAATTTAGGGTGCGGCGAATTTAGGCTGCGGAACGACGTTTTTGGGTAGTTTTGTGCTGCACTCGCTAAAATATATGTACACATATATGTATTGTAAATTCACGAAAAAATGGAATTGTCAAATAAATTGCAAGCTAGCGGATGGTAAGTAGATTGATCAATAGATGTATACATTTAATGGAATCAACATCTCCCAGGCACTTCACCGAGGATGGAATAAAGTCATTGAAAAGCGCCGTCGGCGATGACTCCGACCCAGCCAAAATAATTGAAGTTGCACTAAATGTAAGTGAAAATGAAGTAAAGCCGGTAAGCCACTGTGTGGAGAGTATTAAACATAATTTCGCATTAATTTTAGCGCGACTTACGTGACTTCGGTGGCGGTGCATTACCCATTAAAAGAGACGACAGCTCTGGCGTCCTTCCAGGTGGCGTCGTTCTGCAGGTGCAAAGAGTTCGTAACATTGCGGCTCCGAAGAGCAAGGAAGAGTCAAAAGCTGCGCCTCGGCTTTTGCAGCTGGAGCTGAGCGACGGCCAAACCGTATTACAGGCCCTCGAATTGGAGCCGGTGCCAGCGCTCAGTCTGAACGTGGCGCCTGGCTCAAAGATTTACTTTCACGCTGAGAAACTTCAACTGCTTCAAGGGTTTCTGCTGTTGCGTGGCAGCGATTTTAAGATACTGGGCGGACGAGTAGACGCATTGTACGAAAAATGGGATTTCGCTCGCACTATGCTAAAATATGCCCGCAGCGGACGCCCGCTTAGCGGCGCGTCTGCTCCACCACCGTGGGTGACTTTTGGCAAAAACATCGATGCAAATGATGATCGCAACTTTAAAAGCCTTGCATCAGCTGCAGACAAAGACAAAGATAAGCCCGCCAAGGAGAACGAGGAGTTTAACAATATGAGAAGCGAAGCAATTGCCGTGGCCAGCAAGGCGGCTATTAGGAAGGTCTTTGGCGGCGGAGGTCAAAATATTGTGGACCACAACATCAAGAAAATTCTTGAGAAAGGCTACAGCAAGGAGGAAGCCAAGACTGCATTGCAAGGAACACGCAATAATTTAGAAAGGGCTCTCTTCAATCTGAAAAGGCGCAAGGATGCGGCAGACAGTGCAAACGAAACGCAATTGCGCTGCGGTCGAGGAGAGCGAAATGGCAGGGAAAGTAAGCGCGGCGCCAGTCTCAAAGATGAAGCCGAAGCCGCAAAACCGGCAGCAAATGCCACACTTTTCGACTTTCTCACTACCAAACTACGCACTGATCAGATAGCCGGCGATATAAGCGGTGAGTCCACAAAAGCTAGTTCCAGTACTGACAAGGCTTTGGAGAGGCAATACGAAAGTGATTATAAAACAGCATTGGCTGTATCTTTGGCTGAGAGCAAATCTCAAAATATGGCTGAACGCACGCGATTTGAAAACAATGTTTCGAGCAGCTTTGCTGCTAATCGTGGCGGTCATTCTGGCCGGCTTCAACGGGGCGGCACACGTAGTCGAGCTGGTCGTGGAGTCGGTAGCAGTAGCAGCTATTATGATCGAGGTGGAGCTGTGGGTGGCGGTAGCGTAAGCAAGTCGGACACCAATTCACGTGCAACTGAGCAACCGCATGCCAAAAGCTCCAACCGCAATGGCCACGACTCGAATGCAGTGTCAAGCAAAAGCACTGAAGCAAGCAAACCCGATATCTCTGCGAAGGAGCCAGGGGCCAATCGTCGTGCCAACGAGCGCCAAAACAATCGCAATGGTAACGCTCGCTCTGAGAACGGAATTTCCGGCAGCAATCACAACCACAACAGGCGCCGTCAGCAAGGCAATGGCGCCTGTGCTGGAACAGGAAGTGTTGTTACTCCTCCTACCAAGACCGGCAATCCGTTTAATAGTCATAGTGATGAATATAATAATCGTGTGAATAAAGTCGTCACAGACACAGCTAATTTGAAGATAAGCAACACGAAACGCGAACATAGACGTGGTGGCAGACAAAGTGGAGGCCAATCCACTCGACAGTCATCTGAGCCCCAAAGCACTTTTTCTCTGTCCCAAAAATCAGTGGAGAAGAGTATTTCTGCTCAGCGACAGCATAAAGCTCAGCAGGACAACACTCGACAACCATCGAGTGCCAATTGCACGCAGTTGCCAAATGGTTACACTTATGATCCCAGCAAAATAATGGGCTTTCAAACCAAGGAGACAAATGAGTTTGCTATGAGCCTCTTGAAGAGTCAAGGATTGAGCATAGCTCCACCTCCGCATGCACTAACTTCAGCTCAAGGTCAGACGGCAACCAAACAAGCCAATAACATCTCTTCTGCTCAAGCAGATACAACCGCTTGCTTTGTGCCGTCCAACTCGCAGCCACCAGTGGCAGTGGCAATAGAAATGCCATCGCCGCCTAAAGGCTTTGGTCCGGCTGGTGGTGGTGGTCCATGCGATCCCTGGCTATGGAAGGGCGGCGATTTGTGCATGGCCAAGTATTGGGATGATGGACGCGTAAGTCTACAGCACTTAGAATATGAACTACTGAACACTGATTGTCTTTCCCTATTTTCAGTACTATGAAGCTGAGATAACGGCTGTATCGGAAAATACCTGTGTGGTGTTCTTCCTCGGCTATGGCAACCACGAAGAAGTATTAAAATCTGATATTCTGCCCCTTACTGACGCCCAGAACAGACCCCTAACCAACATGTCCCAGCAGCAGCATCCTCAGTCGCGCCATCGCCAGGCTCTGCAACAACAGGTTTATGTCCCACCTCACAAACGGGAATATTAAGAGAATAATGGAGATCGATGCCTGTCAAAACTTATTCACAGCTAAATTAAATGTGTCGACAAACTATTATAAACATTTTCTACATTTACATTCATGCGAAACTCATTTGTATACGTATAGTATGTGCACATTGTATACCTTGGAACATTTTCAGTGTAATGGACGCTCAATTACAGATTCCAAATTGAATTGTTGCATTAAAAGTTTACAACCAAAAATAGAGCTACGCAGATTGATATTGTAAGTCGAAAAATCGAAAAACTTGTGGAAAAATATCTTAAAATAATTAGCATCCGACTTTTTATGATGGTATTCATTTGGTTTTTTATATTTAGGTTATTTAATCTTGTTGTGCTTATCTCTACTAAAACAGATCAGCAATAGATGCGCTCAAATTTGTTCCCTAAAAACAATGTACGCTAAGCGAAAAGCCGTTTTACAAAACAAAAAACTTATCAGATAAATTAATTTTTTGTTTTGTTAGTTTCGCCTTATTTATTCAAAATATGTTTAAGGTGTCGGGATCACTATAAAAAAGAATGTTAACTATCTGTTGAAAAAGTAAAGGGAAATTTTTGTTTTTTTCTTTAAAGTTATTTATACAGGAATATTCATGTTGTCCCTTTCAAACTGTGTTTGTTTTTGCCAATTCTCGTTATCTTTGTTTTCCACAACTCTTGTCTTTGTTGATGCTGATTGGAGACAATATTTCTTATTAACCGTTCTACCCTGTTGCATGATCTCATGATGCACTACCCCCATGCAATCGAAGTAAAATGTAAGCGAAACCATCACATTCGACCGAACTTGATGAGCTTTTTGGTTTTGGATCGAAGGCAGCTTTTATTCTTTGGTTCATCTATGTTCACAAACTCTAGATTCTTGAGAACTTTTTGTACTGCTGATAAACGTTGTTTTCCATACATTTGATACAGAATAGGTAAGAATCAAAACACGTCAAAGTAAAACATATTTTTAAATTGTTTTTAATTTTTATAAAAAAGAAGTTTATACACACATATATACACATATTATACATATCCAATATGTAGACACTTTTCGTATTTGCATGCATTTTTTAATATTTTTAATTTTAATTTATTTCAATTAACATAATTGTAAAATTGATTATTTTTTACCTATTATTTAAATTCGAATGTTAACTTATTCCAGAAAATACTAAATCTCCAACTTATGGTGTTGTTCAACACTGATAGGAATGTATGCTATTGTGCCTTACTTTTAAATAGTAGGGCTAATACTGACATTAATAAAGTACGGTCCCACCGACTAGCACGTGTTGAAAAGGCAAAATAAGCAAAAGTACCTTGTGTTTTTGTGTATTTCAATAAAATGGTTAAAGTAAAACTGGAACACTCAGAAGAAGCGGATGTTTCAATTAAAGTCAGCGATAATGTGACCATTAAGGAGGAAGAGACCTATGACGACAAATTGTTGTTTATAAATGCTATAGCGAAACCAATGGCAGGCAAGAAGCTAGCTAAAAAATGTTACAAATTGGTAAAGAAAGCTATGAAGCATAAAACCTATTTGAGAAATGGACTGAAAGATGTGCAAACACGTTTGCGAAAAGGTGAAACAGGGTAAGAATTCTCATCATAACGTGTATTTTGCAATAATAATCAAAATAACATCGCAGCATTTGCATTTTCGCCGGGGACGTGACGCCTGTTGACATTATGTGCCACCTGCCTGCCGTTTGTGAGGAGAAGGGTATTCCTTATACATATACCCCCAGTCGTGCAGACCTAGGCGCTGCGATGGGCGTAAAGAGGGGCACCGTGGCTCTGCTTGTGCGACAAAACGAAGAATATAAAGATCTATACGATGAAGTTAAAGAAGAATTGTCTAACTTAAATGTTCCCATTTGAATTTCTAATTTCATAATTTTTTTAAGAACTTTATTAATAAGTGACAAACATTAAAACATACAAACACAATAGCAATTTAAAGAAAAAATAAATGAACCCAAATATTCAGATATGAATAATATTATATATTTGTTTTTATAAAGCTAAATAAATTGTGTAACGAAAAATACATAAACATATTCATTGCTTCGATGTTTTTTCTTCTGTAAAAAATAAGGCGAGGGACTTTTCTGAGAATTCAGAGAAACAATTGAGGCTTGCTCCTCTTGATGAAATATAAAATTATGTTTGAGCCTGCATTTCTTAAAAATTGTAATTTATGTATTAAATTAAATTCATCGTCCATAATGAAAATAAAATATGATCGTATCCTTTATGTTCCCGATTGATTTAATTCAATCTGCAGAATTGTTCATTAGAGCTAGAAAACTGACTTGCAGGGGAAAACTTATGAAGGGGGAATAAAAAGTGGATTAGGATTTGATGTTATTAATATAAATTATAATTACAGTTCCACCCAACTATTCTGTATATATTAACATTTTCAAATGTAAGAGGAAGAAAAGATTAGATACATGGCTAAAAGTAATATTTGATTTGTGGAGTTGAAGCAGCTTCTGTCGAATCTGGTTTGCATCCTTTTCTTATACTTCAATTCCATAATCTATAAAGTTGTGATAGCCATATATTTGCATCAAAGTCACTCGTTCGCTTCCTTTTGACTATTAGCCTGAATCAGAAATTTATATTAAAGTTTAATATAAGGTAGCTAAGATAGGTTTTTTTTCAAAATCGATTATTTGAGTCCAATAGAATTCAATAATATATATAAAATAAAATATTTGATTTAAGATAAACAGAAATAGTTTTGACGCCGTCTTGGAATCTGCAATGTATGTAATTATAATTAGATTAACGAATAAATGCTGTTTTTGGTGTCCCTTAGGGATTTTAAAAATTTTCTCTTTATATATATGTTTTGTATTTTTATAAATGGTTTTACACAGTTTTTCAGTGTAGCTTGGATGTGTTTAGTGTTTTAAATCAGTATTCAAAGTATTGTTTGTGCTTAATAAAATGTGACATAGAACTATATTTTTTATATTTTGCTTTTACTGTTATTTAGTATTAAATATATATATATATACATGTATATATATATATATGTATGTATGTATGTATGTATTTCCTAGTTTTTTATTTATTATATAAATGATTAGATTATATAATTTAATTACATTCATACGCCCATTCATAAGCATTCAAGTCGCTGGCTAAATACATACATATTACCAAAAATCGAACCGGACAAACATTATAAGAATAATTAAATCAATTCGTTTCCAATACGATACTTGAATTCACATTTCCGGGCGGGCAGCGTTTTATACTTATCCAGTTTTACATCCAGACAATGAGAGGGAATGTGTTCATACATAAGTGCTGTATAGGTATGTATGTACATACAATAGTGTCCCATATATGTAGTAGCCAATATATATTAAAAATACAATAATAAAGCATTATATTTGTACGATATAAGTACGTAAATAAATTAAAGATTTGAATAAAGACAGTTAATAATGTATTTGAGTACATGATAAATTTTCAGTTTCTAATTTTTCGAATGGTCAACTGCTGTACAATACTCAAGGTACAATATATATTTATATGTATTTATAACTCAAGCGCACTTAGGCCAAACTGAACATTATTCTCGTAGCATGTAATCTACGACTAATAGAATGATTATAAAATACAAACTTGGTTGAATTACCTTAAGAACTATCTAATTGTTTTTTTTTTGTATTTTTTTATTTCTGTAGTTTTTTTCTGCTTTTTTTTTATTAAGATTATTTTTGTTTTTATTTTTTAGTTTCAAGGGCTGGGTGCTCAGAGCGACCCTGCGACATACGAAATGACAGCGCCAAGGGCGTGCATAGGGCGGAACGGCCTGCTGCGGCATTTGTAACTTCTAATTATATGCATATAATATATAATAATTGTAATAATAATTAAATCTACATATTTAAATTAATTGCGATTAAAAAAGCAAATGGGAGAGCTAAAATTAACAAGCAATTCATTATGTTTTTGAGTTTTTCTAATTTTTCCATTTTTTTTGTTGGTTTTTTTGGTTTTTTTTTTGTTTGTTTCTTCAAGACTCTAAAGTCTTTAAATTATGACGTTGATGCCACATGCAGCAGGCGGCGGCATTCAACGACGTCCATTACACGTGATCACTGAAAGTAGTTGTAAAAGCCAGAAGTAGCCTGTCCCAATTCTCGTATGGCCGCAAATGGATCCTTTTCCATGTCATTCGCTGGTAGGGAGGATTTCGATGGATGCAGAGGCCGTGCCGAGTTCATTGTTGGTTGCTGGTGTGCTGAAGCCGCTTGCGGTCCTTGACTTAGCACAGCCGCATATGTGGTAGCTGAGGACTGCTGATGATTGACGGGGTCGGTAGAGGACTGAGCAGTCTGCTGTGGCACGCTGGAGAACAAGTCTAAGTCATGTCCGCTCTTAATTGCATTGTAGTTATTGTAGAGCAGGCCATGACCGTGATCAGACTTGTTCGAGTGCTCGGTCCCCGCATTATTAGCTTGGAACAAGACCTCAATCAGGTTAGCGCTCGTGTCTAAACCGGCAAAAAGACCGGGCATGTTGTTGTAATTGTTGCCCCCATTGCCCGTCATTGCCTGTCGGCGGTAGAGCGGGACAGAACTGCCATTATTATGAAGACCATTGCTGTTGTGTCCACCATTGTTATGATTATTGAAATTGTTAAACGGCTTGTCATTCAGCAAAGAGTTTCCGGCTAGAGAAAAATAAATAAAAAATGATGCTATTTAACAATAAATAAATAAACTAGATGGAACTTACCATTGTTCATAAAGTTAGAGACTCCAGGGTTGCTGTTAGAGCCTGGGTGGATACCTGCTCCCTGCATCGGTCCAGTCATGTGGTTGGCATACATAGCTAACGGCTGCATTTGACCAGGATTTGGTCCATGTTTTCCCATAGTCAGAGGTGCTTGTTGTGTCTGTTGTTGCCCCTGCATCATATTGAAGAGCCGACTCTGTTGCTGCTGTTGTTGTTGTTGTTGCTGCTGATGCTGTTGCTGCTGTAAGTCTCCGCCATTCATCATACCATTTGACAGCGGCATGACCCCTGTACCCGCTGTCGTTGTTGTTACGCCCACCATGCCAAGTACATCACGTAAAATTGGTTGCGCAATGTCATTGGCTCCATTCATAATCGAATTGAAGACAAGATCTATTTGCTGATTAAAATTGTCCAAGGGAGGCGAAGACTCCACTGACTGTTGATTGAGGTTCTGCGCTTGTGTGGGGTACATCACCGGATACTGTCCTCTCTGGGGCTGTGGTCCCATAACAGCATGCGGATTAGATATCATCGGCGGTCCTGGTACTACCGGTGGCTGGGGCTTGTGTCCCTGCGGATGATGCTGCGGTTGGTGACCCTGTTGCTGCAACGTGGTCATCACTTGGCGAAGCATATCGCCGAACTTGTTGGCTGCCTCTTGACCCGCAGATTCAAGTAGCTTAAGATACCACTTATATTGTTCTTCCTTTGAACTGAACGCCATTTCGTATATGCTCATATTGGGAGGCAGTAGCTCGTGCGCAGACGGAAAGCGCAAGCTGCTGGGCGACGGCTGTTTGCCAGCCGTGTACATATAAGGGGCAGGTGGGGGTTGCTGTGGCGGACCCGCGGACTTTTCGTAGCTGGCATAACCCGCCGCAGTGCCATTATGACGCAGATAAGGTGGTGGGCCATTTTCCATCGGACTCATCGGTCCGTTGGGCACGCTACCCCCACGTTGAATTGGTATTGGTGGCTGTCCATACAGATGATGTTGTGGTGGCAGGGACTGTTGAGGTGGTGGCGCCTGGCCGTGGTTGTAAAGCGTCTTTTTAGCTAAGTAACCCAGTTCGCTTGGATTCCTTAGCAGTTGCGCAGCAGTGGTTGCGTTTGCTGCAGCTGGTGGAACGCTGCCTCCTCGAAGGGCCTTTTAATAAAAATTATTCAAACAATGTTAAGTCTTCTTCCACACATATAACATGCAAACTATTGTAAAAGTTGATCTGTCGATAGTATAAATAGGTCTAATAACTATTCTATGCAATTTGTTCACTTTTATATGGAGCTTCTCGAATATGACGAATTTGATTAATCCCACTCCCCTTAAGAATCTATTTAATTTTTGGCCTAAGTATATTTCGATTCAGTTTAAGTCTTAATTAATATTTTAACTTACTGGTGGAGGTACAGGTCCAGGACCGCGACCAGGAGCATTTGACTGCTGAGGCGGCGGCTGCTTATTCGGCGGTAATACGCTCCAGGGATTTGTTTGCGGTGGTGGACCCCAGAGACTGGCATTGGGATTCTGCTGCTGCTGTTGCGGCTGCTGTGGGGCAACGGGTGGCCGCCAATGTTGCATAGCTGTGTACTGGCCATAAGGCGGGGGCGGAGGTCCTCCACTTCCTGGCTGAGACTGTCGCAAATGTGGCGGTACAGGCGGCGGACCATTAGCCGGCGGCCCGCGCATTCCCATATGACCACGTATATGACCGGCAGGTCCCGGACCTGGTCCTGGCGACGGTCCATTGGAAGACTTACCGCCAGCGGCCACTGCTGCTGCCATCATCGCAGCCATATGAGTGGAATACATATGGTTGGCAGCCATTGCTGCGGCCATTTGATTCATCTGATGCGCGGACGGCCCGGGACCCATGCCAGCGGAGGCAGCATAATGAGGTGGCTGACTGCCAGATGGCGCGTGTGCTGGAGCATTTAGGTACAGAGCTGCTTGCTCGCGTAAGTATGCCTCTGGCTGTAGAGCACGAGGAACAAATTCGGGAGCTAACGGATTGAGGACGTAGCCGCGTTTCATTTCGACGCCATCAAGCTGGGATCGCAAGTTAGACCAAGTCAACCCAAACAGTGACTTGTGCTCATCGCATATTTCAATGAAACGCTCCCAGACCTTGCGACAGCGGCCTATTGAGCAGAGAGCAACCGGATCGCCGACGACAGCAACCAAGGACTGAGCTCGCGTGATCGCAGTATTTAGAAGCTTTGAGTTGCTTAAAAAACCATAATCTGTATCAGCATCACCTATACTGTCTGCAGCAATGGTAGCACCGCCAACACCGGGGCTGCTTCCTTGTGGCAAACATGTGCGTCTTGTTCGCACAGTAGACAGAAAAACAGCACGGAACTGCTTGCCCTGCACATTGAGAACGCGTTCCACGGAGATTCCGCCCATTCGACGTTTCCTCAACTCTGATCTAATGCGAAAAACTTGATCTGCATAAGGCGTCATAATGCCGATGCTTGTATCATTCAGCTTGCCCCAAGCGCTTGGCCAACGTTTACGCAGCTCTGAAACACGTTCAACTACTTCATAGACCTCAGCATTGTTATAGAACGCTGTCGAGTTTTTATCTTGTACATCCTCGCCCCTCGTTGTAAAAAATGTTAGAGGATAAAAACGTTCATGACGTGGCTGCTTGCCAGAGGCAACAAGCTTCTGCTCATAAAATAACTCCGAGGTGAATCGTATAATGGCTTCATGCGCACGATAGTTCTCGCAGAGCAAAATTTTACAGGGAAAGTTTGAAGGGTAGTGGTCGTATAGTCGTTCAAGCAGTGAAATATGCAATTTGCGTTCCTTTGCAAACGCGGAGAAGAGCTCGGGACTCATCTGCATATGGTCTCCAGCCAATACAATTCGAGTGGCATCGTTTGCTAGAGCCAGCGGCATAATCGCCTCACATTCCATTGCCTGCGCTGCCTCATCCAAAAATATATGAGTGAATAAACCTTTGGGCAACCCAAGCGAAGCCAACTCCATGCTGATGCTCAGTGTGACGACTATGATGCGATGACGCATTATGTCTTCAACACTAGGCCGTCGAAAGTTTCCTACACCATCAGTAATGCAATATTTTTGCACCACACTATTCACTGTCGCGGACCAACGCTTATGGTAGTAAACTCGCAGTGGTGTCGCTTCCTCGAGACCTTCTTCTATCCACGGATGCAGGTACTCTTTAATATAAAGGTCTGCCGCTGAATTGGAATGCGTGCAGATGAGTATTTTTGCTTCTGGCTGGGCTAAGAGCTGTTTAATTGCCTGTGCCAGGGTATATGTTTTGCCCGTGCCAAACGGTCCAATAAGTAAAATAGGTGGCAGCTTAATACTTAAAGCTGTTGTGATGGCGTTGACAGCCTCCCTCTGTTTTGCATTCAGTTTGGGCTCGCAGGCATCAGCCCATTGCTTTTTAGGAGTCCATGGTATGGCTGGCTCCAGCTCAGTTGCTGGAAATATCAAACGAAAGTCGGTTATCTTGTCCACAGCATTGTGCCACTCACAGTAGGGCATACGATTAAGTTGGAACTGTATATCTACGTCGAGCTCTGTGTCCGCTTGCAGGCCCATTGCTTCGACGCATTTTGATGACAACTTCAAATATATTACATTCTTGCCCTTGTCCTCAATAAGTGCTTCATACACAGCGCGCTGTTCAGATTTATCGGATTTAGCTGTTGTTTCCTCCGGCGCTGAAATATAGACGCTGATGCAGTTGGATAAAATCAGGCGACCCGGCGAAGTATCCTCTGAAATGTCTTTGCCTAGGCGCATCAATGCGAAAAGTTCACCAGCCAGTGAATACTTGGCCGTACTAGTTGCCATGCCCGCCGGCGTCAATATATAATTGGAGGCTACTGTCAGCCGGGTACGCACGTTATAACGCGCGATTTGCTCGTAGCGAGCAATCTCTTCAACATAAAGTAACTCGTGTATACGTGAACGGTAGTTGTTTTGTGTTAGTCGTTTCTCCACAATAGTCGACTGTGTTAGCGTAAAGGTGGCAGCACGGGGACAAGGGTATCTCTCTAAAAGCTCGCGTTCGTGCTGCAAGTCACTGAGATAGGCTTCTGTTTTCAGATGCGTCCCAATAGTGGTTTCAAAACGAGTCAGCTTGGTGTTAGAAATATCCCACCGTGTAGCCGAGCTATTTATAATGTCACGCTTGATTTCTTCAATTTTTTCGGCATCACTAACAGGTAACACATCAACGCAAAGATGACGTACCAGCAAAGGCTCCTGGCCGATGTCGAAACAGATCGACTGCCGAAACGTGCCGTAAATTTCTGTATGAAATTCAACAGTAATTTCGTGTGCGCTAACGAGTTTAGATGGTGTTGAACCTTCCTGACTTTCAGGCAATGTAGAAGACACCCACTCCTGATCAGACTTTAATTCTACGTTGACCTCCGATTCGGATGTAGATTGGCTCAGCTTAATAGCCTTAATCGCAAAATGATTGCGATGCGCGTCCTGTAGCAGAGCAACCGCTTTCAGTGGTCGCAATGTTTCCAGCTGGAACAGCCACTCACGCTTAGAAGTCTTTGAGCTGATACTGGTAACCAATTGCTGCTCGCATTTCGCTTCCATGTCTGGCACTTTTTCGCACATTATGCGCTCCGGGGCGGTAGCCTGAATCCATCGTTCGAGCACTTGTTCCGTGTATGACTTTCCATACAGTTCCTTCTCACAAGCCTTTTGTACACGCATTCGCCGATACTCGAATCGTTCCTTCCACTCGTTCAGTTCGTCCAACCCATGCGCCTCCACACATTGAGCTCCGTAATGGCATGTCTGCGCTTCCGCGAATGTCTCGCAGACGCTGTAAGTGTCCAGCGTGTAACCCCGAGGTGGGGGGCGCCATTTCCAGTCGCGACCTGCGAAATAAAATACTTAACAGACAAGCAAATAAATCAAAATATTGTACGTACCCTCATCGCTCATTATCACTTTCTGGTGGCTTTCAGTCTGGCAATGTTGCCTCAACTCGTTCCGTGTTTGGAAGTTGATGGCACAATAACTGCATGTTATTGTAGATGTTGAGTGCGCTGCTTGATCTGAGTCAGCTCCCGCATCCACTGATGAATGCTTAACACCAGTTAGTTTGATCGCCGATAGCAATTCAATGTTCTTGGTGTTCAAGCTGGAACTGGACATCGTGCTGCTACTACCAGTACTGCTGCTGCTACTGCTGAAGCTGCCACTACCATTCTGTTGCTGTTGCTGCTGATGTTGCTGTTGCTGTTGCTCGCGTTTCTTTAATCCTTTGTTGCTAAGTAGTTTGCTATACTTGTCCAACGGCAAATTGTTCGTGGCCCAATGATCGAGCTTAGTGTCCAGTATTGCCATCTCATCCTCAAGGCGTGCATGCGGAATTTTTTGCGATTGCGTCTGTAGTTTGTTCTGCCCATTCATAATCATCTGAATGATGGATTTGTATCGCTCTAGAGTCTTCGATATGTCCGAAAAAATTTGCTGGCCACTTAATTCATTTATCCACTTACTCAGAAAGTGTTCTGCATCCTACATATTATTCAAATATACACAACGGTTTGGTAAATAATGAGAAACTGACTTTTAGTCAAGCGACTCACCGAGTACTTGTGCAGCTTAAATAGGGCGTGAACCAGCCAACGACGCGCTCGCGAGACGCTTGCCAAGCACTCCGTCTGCTCTGAAAGCAGTGTCAGCACTTTGTATGCATCTTGCAGACAGCCTTCGTATCTACCTAACTCCAGTAGACACTCGCAGCGACCCAGCAGGCACGCGATTTGCTGATCCTTCTGCGCTCGTGTCGTTCCATTTGACTGCCCTTGTGGTTGTGGCTGCGGAGCTGCACTGGCTGAGAGTATTTGATCGTAGAGTGCCACAGCACGCGCCCAGCTCCGCCTTCGAACCATGTCATGCGCCTGCATCTCCTTTTCAGCGGCCATTGAAGGCAGCTCTTAATTGGCTAAACAACAAGTTGGTACAATTTCGATCAATGCTGTGAGCTGAAAAGAAGTCCTGCTGCCTTTCTTTCTAGCTCTGCCTTAGCACTGTCCTCTTATTTGAAAGTATTCCCAGTATATGTGTATGTGTATACGGGTACTTGCTTAAGCTAACAATTTACACTTATACAACAGTTTCTGCTTACTGAAAAAGAAAATTTAAAAAAGGCATAAGAACTTATTAAATTAATAAGAAATATATAACTATATAAAATAGCACATAGCTATAAGTTCAATTATTGCAAATGTCGTTCGTGGCATTTTTTTCGGGTAAAAAAACGACATTACAGAAATATTATGGTTTTGTATAGTATTTCTCGGCATCTTAGCTTTAGGTATTAATATGAAGGCATTAAAGGATGTGGAATGGAACTTAAAGGCAGCAGATGTAATCAGTCAATTTAACTATGTATCCAATTCAATATTTGTTTTGTAGTTTATTAAGACAGGACATAAGCTGTGTATGTAGTATGTACAACTAGTGCATATGAAATTGTAATGTAGATTTGATATTCTTATCACCCAAATAAATTATTTTTTTTGCAATTTTTGTGTTTTGTATATTCCACATATCAAGGCAGCTTTTATATACAAGAGAGAACGTGTTTCTCATGCAAATATGATATACTACAATTCAAACATTATTTCTACAAAGTGCTCTTTTAATTTACAATTGCATTTGTTTTCGCACAATAAATTCACTTTTCCTGTTAATTTTCGCTTATATGTAGGTTCTGCAACAGTAGACGGTGTTCAACACAAAACGAAATGTCAAATTAGCAGCCTGTGCCTTTTGATACGGCCATACGCAATGATGTTGCCATATAAATGTACATGTACATATGTGCAAATACACATATATAAAAATATATATACATACATGCATATATACATATATATGTATATAAATATATATATAAATCTATATATGCATATATATTAATCAATCGAATATTTTTTTTGAACTACATGCAAGTATATGCATGCATATAAATGCTCTTTGATTTTCGCAATATACTAAAACATTTTCTGTGAACGAAAATATTTGTACTTCTACTAACAGAAAAATGCAAAAGGCGCAGCAGCTGTCATTTGCCAAGCGAAGGTGTTGGTATAAATATTCGGCGGTATTAGAATAATTCACAAGCACATTTTAGTTACCTTTGCACTAACTGTTAATAATGCTACACTAATGTCTAATTTAATTTTACATGGTTAAGCACAAACTTTGATAGAAAATGCACATCTCACGTCGAAAAATGTTAAAAATAAGCTATGTATGTACTAGTGTTGGATCGCTCATGAGTGACTTTTAACAAGTTTATCAACACTAAAACGTGGTGGCCAGCTGATTGTAAATAAAAAAAATTCCGATAGCCTGATTATCGAATTGATATAGGTTTATACGAAATATATTGAAATGTACTATGAGGTTATCATCAATTATTTAATTATTATTCAAAATTGAATCGCACTTTTAAAACTATATACAAAAAAAACTTGGGCTATAAGGGCACAGTTGACAATTTGAAATTAAATCTATAGGAAATGAATATCGGTAATCGAGTTTTGCACTTCTGTATAATTCATTCTATGTATTTGAATTTTCACGTATTATTATATTCATGTATAATTCCAATTTGCCCGTCCATATCTATTTAAGTTATCGATACTTCTCTTGAAATCTTGCTCCGCAAGTGTATGCATATTCAAATATACCAAACAATGGGAATGATAATGAAAATGAATCCATAAAATTACGATTAACACTATTAAGGTATTTATTTAATATAATAATATTAAATATATGAAATTGGATATATATATATATATTCAATCAGTTTTCCAAGGTATAGTATATATATATATATTTACTTTTAATTATGTAATTAATTAATTATATATTAGAATAAAAAATATACATATGATTAAATTTTTGTTTTTTTTATTGTTTCATATATTTAATTAGACAATTTTAAAACGACATACATAGGACAAATATAAAACAGCGTACAATATTGAAAACATTCTAATTGACGACACAATTAAATGAACTTTTTAGCAAATTTGATTAAATCGATAGCCAATTTTAATTCCCGGACGCCACGAACTCCAAGGGATTCCAGTTCCTCGAGTGTCATCTGAACGAGGACTGCCAAGTCGATTTCCTGACGTTTGAACAAATCGATCAGGTGATTGTTACCTGTGCGATTGAGCAGCGAACTAACCCGTGGACTAAGTGCAGGCTGGTTTACTGGCGAGCTTCGCTTGAAATGGCGTTTTTGTGGGGTTCGTTTAGAGACGTCGTCCGTGAGCTGAGTTGATCGGGTATCGCCTTTTGGTTTCGCAAAATTACTTTGATTTGCTGTGCCATGAGCACATGGCGAAAAGACCGATCTAATGCTCATAAAATCCTGCGAGAAATGTCTAGGTGCACGTGAACTGATCAAGCGTCGTGCAGATCCAGCTGCTTGATGAGGTACAGCAAGACTGCTGGGCCTAAGCCCTCGAAAGTTGCGATTCTGCGAGCTGCATGGGGAAGGCGCTGGCGGCGGAATATCATCAAAATTAAATGACCGCGTTGTAAGTGGTGTTATAGGTGTTAGTGGAGATTTGGGATCTGTGCATACATTTTTTTATTAAGAATTTTTTATTTAATTATTTAATTTAGTTTACCTCTCCAAGCACGGTTGTAGCGATCCATCAAACCTTTTTAAAATAATTTTCTTCAAATGTTAATAAGCCTAAGCTGCGAAGAGCTCTTTACAATTCGAACTGTAAATTACATGCATAAGTATATGTATTTACACCTATGTGAGCACATGTATTTGACACACATGCACATATACATAATTACATACATTTATATCCGCGAAGTCATTCAGTCTAGAACCTTTTTTTTGATAGCTGACAACTCTGCACTAGTGTCGAATATAGAGGTGGGTGCTTGTGCAAGCTTTTTAAACTCACTGTACAGTTTCGAAGTCTTGAGCTATTTATAACGGAAGTTTTAATGATTTTATAGAATATAAAACCCGTCCAAATTGACTTGTAAGAAAAGTACAGCAGTTCCAAGTGGTATATGAATGCTTGAAAGTTTTTTCATCAACTTGATCGTAAAATTGTATCGATCTAATAAACCAAAAAGAGTAAATTTAAAGTTCGTTTTAAATAAATTGCTCTTAAATTTCAAAATCGAAGTTCTAAATTTAAAGAGCTCTTTAAGCTTACTAAAGCTTTCAAGAAAAGCGTTTTCGCTCCCTCTTTTGAAAGAAATACGTTCTAAGGCCTATAAAAAGATCAAATCGTTTATAATTGAACAACAGATGGCGCGGTATAGAGTGTACGTGAATTTGTCTGTGGGCTAAGTGCTTATAAGTTTTATGCAGTTGATCACATTACAATATCAAACCTGTTTCTCTAAGTAAATATTATTTAGTACATATATATATAGTATAGGTACATATACGTATATAGAATATTATAGGCAGATAATACTATACTATAATAAAATTGAAAATCAATCGTATTTTGAACCTATTTTTTATAATTGTCAATTAGTGATTACTAAAAGTTGCAAATTAAAGTTCAATAAACTCGAAACAAAACCAAAATTTTAAAATTGTAAATAAAAAGACTTGGCTTTTAAGATCAGGACTTGTGAATATTTAGTATCTAATTAAAGCGAGTTTGACGAGTTTCTTTATTTTTATTTGTTTAATGTCAGTTTAGATACTGCGCATAAAGCTGTTGCGAAAACTGCTCTTACAGATGCTTGACTGCTCAGACAGAAAAAATATATATAAGTGTGTGCATATATAGAATGATGCAGACACATATTTTTCTTGATATGGAAATTAAAGAACAAATCTTCGAATTATTAATGGAACAAGATTTGACTGAGGTTAACCTAGTTTTCGAAGAACTTGGTGAAGGCTTTTGGCTTTTGGCCCCACACGTATCTCAGAGTCTAAATTATGAATTATATGATAATTCAAATGTTGCTCGAGAAATGGCAAAAACCACTATAAATAGTAAACTCTAGAAGATAGTTTGTATCACGCTCGAAACCTGTTCTCCAACATTTTTTTCTGATAAGAACTTTTATTTGGGAACCACGCAAGAAGTCGCCAGATTTACTAGCTCCAAAATGTTCAAATGTTTTAAGAATAATTATTGATTTTTCTTACACATTTCAAATCAAAAGCCAACGAAAATCTCGTTGCAACATTTGCTCCTAAGTTCTGAGGTGATTGTCTGACAATTTTTTGGTTCGGAATATATATTTTACTAAGCACATCAATTATTCACATTTTATTTTTAGACGTTCTTATATGAAGTGACAAGAGACTATAAGTTTTGTGCCTGAAATTTGGAACATATAACAACTATAAATCCACAGAGTTCCATAGGTTTCCAGTTTAAATCACATCTGCTTCGAAATCCGAAAACACTTATTTTAATACATTTAATGAAAAAAATAAATTTATAAATAAAGACGTTTGCTTGATTAATTGATTGTTTTGGGAAATCGACAAAGATTAATTTTATTATTATTTTAGTTTTAGTATATAATATGTCTTATAAGTTACAATTTACATTTTATAAGTTGTAAAATTATTCTATCATTGTATTATTTTGCTCGTGATCGTCGAAGACCTCCATACTTCCATACAAATAAATTAAAATCTAATAACAATATGAATATTGCATTTATTTAAGCTTTTAACACTCTTGTTAGTCTTTTTGTCGCAAGATGCAGCTGGACTTCATTTGAAAAATAAATAATTTTTTAAAAGTTGAATTTTACTTAATTAAAAAGTTCGTTGTCATTTGTCATAAAATTGTTCTTACTCCAAAACTTCGAAAGACATATACAACTTATTAAAAACTGCAAATATATTAAATTAAATTCATAGTTAATTTAGTTAATTTACTCGTTTTATGTATGTCCGTTTATATCTATAAAATATTATTTATATAATGAAGTTTATTTCACCTTTTCGTATTCGCATTCGAATACTAAAACCTTTCTCCGTGAAAGAAATAAATTAAATGAGTTTTGTTCTTCATTCGATTTTTTATTTATGAAGTTTCATGTCAAACCTCAACAAAAGTAAGATATTCAATTTCTTTTTGCAGTTATTTAGTGATTATGTAAACACAAGTTAAACTATGGCTTTATAGTTGTGCTTCAATATTTGCTATGCTCAGCGGACTGGTTGTCCGCCCAACCCATCAGCTATTGAGTTGAGCGTGCAAGTTTCTGCGCTTGTTGTTGCCGGCTTTTTGCTTTTGGCTAACGAAACAGCTGAGAGATCAGAAGCAGCTGCTTTGTGTTTATATTTGTTATTGAGAACACATGCAGCACATGCGCAATGGATGGGACACGAAGCTGAGCTTCGGGTTTGCCATCGGCTGGCCCCCCCACAGGGCGGCTATAAAATTGTGGCTTGGCGCTTTGGCCACTCAGTCGTCTAACGGAGTTCAAACCAGCTGGGCAGAAAAGTTCTGGGGAGCTTTTTGGCAGCAGAGCTGCAGCCGTTTCATTCAGAAAACTTGTAGTTGAAGTGATTGTTTTTAGCGAAATTCGGTCGAGCTAACTCAAAAGATAAACAAGTCCGCTTGTTGTTTCCAAGCCTCTGTTCAAATCCAAATGACGAATATTTCGTGCAGTTATGTTATGCTGAAGTGCACAAAGCGCCATAAATTATAAAATTATTATAGTTCAAGCAAAAAGTAAAATAATAAAAACTATTTCTATATCAGCAGTCAATTGCCATTGATTAACCATTCTAAAAGTTTTCTAAGCCTCTAACAAAAAGAGAAAAAAATCAGTGAAGTGTTAAAAAGCAACAATAAATATTGTAAACACATACATATACATGTGCATGTATGTTTGTACATATATACATACATACAAAGCACTTGCGAAATAAATTAGCTACGCCTGAACAAAAGAACTGAGGTAATTTTTTTCTATTTTTTGTTTGCTTCATTTTATTTATTTGCTCATGCAAATTGAATTAAGCAATTAACCAAAACACAAGCAAAAATATAGTAAGAATACTATTTTTTTTATTTTTGTTAGGTTCGATTTTTCGACATTCATTTTGTCGATTACAAAAAAGAAAAAATCACTTTAACCAATTCTCATTCGCCTAATAATTGTCATTAAACAAACGAACAACTAAGAGAGAATATTAAACTCGGGAGCAAGCGACTGCGTAATACTCCTACTGAATATATATATTCTTATTTTGACATAATTTATAGCACTATCTGTAGATGAAGTTAACAGTGATCTATCTGTGACACCAGCTATGAAACAGTGACTGATACAGGTGTTTCCAATTTCTAGGGATTTGCTATATTTAGATAGAATATTTTTTATTTGGGAGTTATAGCTGTGTTTACAATTCATTTCAAGTATTCAAATAATCTTTACTCTTATAGGCACGACTTTTAAAATAATGGACGTTAAACAAAAGAGACATAAATTGTTCTAAGCAAATATGAAAATTGTTAAGTTTTCTAAAAATTCTATACTAAAGTATATGTGGCAACTTGTAGATGTCTATATATTTCTGAGAGTTAGACACACAATTCCCTATGTCATAAATGTAATTGAATAACAAAAAAAAAGAAAAAAACCCGCGGCAACAATCACAGTTCTATTTTATTTAGGCCTTCAAACGATATACAATGGAGCGTAGATGTAGTTGTAGCTACAGCTATTGCTGTTACTGCAGTCCGGTCTTAGTTCAAGGAAAAATATTAGTGAAATCTCAAAAAAAGCAGACAGATAGAGAGGCAAGTGTGACCACTATTTTGCTTGTACATAGTTGTGTGTACTTCGAAATTGTTTTGTGTATGTTAATTGTTGTGGGCGCACCGACAATTAGATACTCTCGCGAATTAGTTAAGCCAATTGCTGAGGCTGCTGAAATGTGAATCCAAGTGTAGTTAAAATGATATCATACCAAATGTGTTTAGCGCCCTTTGAAAACCTATACATTTTTATTCAATGCATCGGTATAAAAAATTCACAAATGCAAATTCGCCTTAGATCTCTTAAATCTTTTTTAAATAAGCGTGATATGTGTTGGGAAAGCGAAAAGATTCGATTGATTATATTTAATATGCGCTTAACGCCTTTTCTACTATAATCTTTCTACTATATACCATATTTCTAAATACTAAACTTTATATATATATATATATATATATATATATATATATATATATATATATATATATATATATATATATATATATATATATATATATATATATACATATATATATAAAATAAATAAATAGTATTCTGAACTTATGAGATGCTTTATGCAATTTTCATAGCCTGAACCCATTGAAAATGGGAGTGCAGAGTTTAATAGTTTTGTAAAAATATATGCAACAGGCAGAAGGAGGCGTGGCAGACATCATACAGTATACCTATTCTTAATCTGGAGAAGGAGCTGAGTCGTCCGTCTCTCTGTATTAACGCACCGATGTCGTGCACCACAAAAGCTGGAGACTTGAAATTTTAAATATATATTCCAGAATACGCGGTATGAGCAAAATCGCAATAAAACGTATTTGGCAAATACACACATATGAATGCCATTACCAATTTGATTAGGAGAGTTCTCATAGCGAAGCCCACACTGCAGCCTAAGCACTGTCGCTGGGTTAACTGCGCAGTAAGCGGAACGCACGCTTTTGTGAGCGTGTGATGTTTGCTATGTATGCATAAAGGAAAGGAAAGATTAAGATTTTTGATTGAAACGATGCTTTATTAAATAAATATTTAAACGGCATACACAATCTTTCATAATACCCAAAATAAGTTAAAATAAAAAAAAAAGAATTATGTAATGCTTAAATCATTAGTTTCGTATTCAAAAAAATTTGTTTCCGACTTATCTAAAGGGCGGTATTCTGTCTACATGCTGATACAATTATTCGAGCTTTCTTAAAAAATAAATTAAGTATATTTATTTTTAATTTTAGCTCAGAGAGAGTTAACGCTAATTTCATTTTTATTCACAATTATTCACATGGACACAGAACTGATAACTAAATGTGTTAGGATTCGGTTCTGATTGTGAATTGTCACAACCAAAGCAAAAAAGTTGACACAGTCGGGGGTAATTGACTAAAGCTATCTAGCTTAACTACTATTAAGAGTATCTCAAGTTTTTTCTGTAGAGAATTGTTAAGTCGTGGCTGTTGTAAGTTCATCTCTACCTAGTTACTTTTAGGCTGAAATTCTTTAGCCTTGAACCGTCCAACGCCAAAGCAAACCTTGATTGCAGCAATAGCTGAAAATTGTTTGAATCGAAATTTTTGATTAAAGCAACGTGAGATAGCAGTTGATTGGGTCCATGGCTCGGAAATGCACTAAATTTGCAGGAAACATAAAGGATATGACAAATTTAGAATGATGTTTGATTCAGCGAGGCTCGGTCAGTTACACAGAAACTAGAATTCTTTAAGAGAATTGTGAGTATATAGATAACGTCAATGATTTTAATTGAAAGCAAACTCCCATCGTAATGGAATACAAATATGTAGCTATTACGTAAATTTCAAATTTAAAGTCAAGAGGTTTTTAGCTTTAAATTGGACACATACATTAAAGAGTTGCATGCGAAAAACGTTTAAGTGTCTGTTTCTCTGTCACAAATTTAAAATCTCTGCTGTTATTTATGGCAAGCATATTTTCATAGCTGATTACCTTTTGCCTTCTCTCTGCTTTATATAAATTTTGACATTTTTTTGCAAAACTCTGTTCATTTTTCTTTAGACTAAAGGAGTAAAAATATATAACATAATACATATACTATTTTATTGTTAAGAATAGAAAGAGACCAACTTGAAGATGCGGCACCTAATTATTCATCTTTCAAACACATAGCAAATCGATAAATATCGATTTGCGCAGACGGAAATGATAACAATTTTTGTTAATGCTAGCAAGAAGAACCAACAAGACCTAGTTTCAAGAATTTGATTTGGGTTTAATTTAGTTACTGTCTTTTATATCAAGAAATGTATATAGCACCGTTTGTTCTGGAGATCATGATCATAGATAAGTTGAATAGATAAGTCTATTTGAAATAGACTGGCAGTAAAACTCTGTTTTTGTTAAATAGTTCATAAAATTTCATTTCAATGTGTATTTCAAACACAAATTTATCTAATCAGTTCTGGTTCTTAGCATGTAGAGATAGACTTTTTGAATTTAAGCTAATCTATATAGCTATAAAAAATGTGGGACTTTGCTATTTATTGATTGGTGATTGAGCTAGTCACCTGTGATTTATTAATTGATCACTATAAGCCAACTGTTGATTTAATATTTACTATTTCAAAATTATACTCGGTCACGAAGAGAACTCTGTTTAGGACCTTGAAATTTTGAATATAAATTACTGCTTTTAGTCGGTCGCGCTTTCTTTGTCCTTCTGAACACTATTGAAGCCAGATGCTACAAATTTGAAATATGGTCGTGTGCTCCTTTCGAAAGTAACTCGGCAAAAACTATATCCTGCAACATGCTGTCTTGCATGGCACTGCTCCGTGTGCTCTCACATAGGATTTGGTTTGATAAATGTAAATTCTCTCGCGGATCATTAAAAACAATGGGTCATTTCGCGGGGGGAGCAGAAATTAATGGCACGGCCTGAAATGTGGGCTAACAAGTCGGCTTTTGGGGCGTTGAAGTGTTTGCCACAAATGATATTTTTTCGAGCTGCGCTCATCTAATGCATTCTTTGCAGTTACAGTTGCAACTCTTGCCCTGGGGAGTCAGTACCATGTTGCAATTATTATTTCCGGCTCGCAGCGAAACATAAAATGAGCAGGAAGCAACGCGCGCCATGTAAAAAATGAGGCTCGCTAAGGCTCAGCCGAGCCCAACTCTACCAAACCCAACCCAACCTCAACTGAAACCCGGAGCCATCATCTGCACCAAAAAGTGTTTCAGTGCAGCCGGCAGCAGCGTTTCCGCTTTTGTTTGTGCGCGACGCATAATTTGCGGGACAAACATGTAAAAATGCCTGCAGTCAAAGCACACATGTACACATGTACACATGCATGCATGCATACATGCACACATGCATACATTCACACATGCACTGCACATTTATGTAGACACATTGGCGCACAGTCCCTATCCCCTTCAGCAAATGCTGAAGTGTAAAGTGGAGCTGCGGCCAGGAAGGACTCCTATGCGCTTCAAGATGTACAGTTTATCTTGCGCCTGGGCGTCCGGCGTACCCATTGCAACGGAAGAGCAACTACACCGGGACTTTGGGATGGGATTGCACATTGCACATTTGTGTGTTGTCGGTGTGACTGTTTTTTAGGCGTTGCTCCGGCTTGTTTATGATTATAAGTTTATGCTCGAAATGAAATTTTGCAAAAAGCAGTCGCACGACTTTTGGCCACGAATATTTGCATGTAAGTGCAAAAAGCAATGTTGTAGTCCACATCTTCCACACAAGCAGATGATAGTCGGCATTGTAGTGAGAGCACAAAAAGGGAACACCTGTAGTTCTAATCAAAATATGTATTTATTTTAAGGAGTAAAGCTTCTACGCGTTGCATACATAAAGTTTCCATTGGTTTAAATCATATACAGCTGTATGTCGCCTACTACTTCGCAGTTCTAACTTATAAATTCTGGGAATATGGGCCAAATTAATTTGTTTAATGTCATAGGCAGAAATAGGTATGACCAGAAAAATCTATACTCCTGTTGCCAAAACGCAGTAACAGCTTATAATTTTTCCGATAACATATTTCCTGTTTATCGATAAGAATTCGTGTTTTAAGTGCAGCTTAAATTCCGTAAATGCTTCCGTAATGAATACAAAGATTTTGAATATCTCTCTTCAATTACTAGTTATTACTTCAGCAAATATACACATACAAATGTCATTATTACGCTTTGAAAAT